CTGCATGTAGGGTTCCATAGTGACCAGCGCCTTACGGTAGGCTGCTTAGAACTTCCGTTAAGAATTGTCATCAGCCAGAACAGCGTTTTTTAAACTGCGTGTCAATACTGTTTTCAGTGGCTTACAGAGTGTTTTTGTGATGCAAAACTGTAGCCGTTAGGCTATGGTCAGATGCGGTTTAAGTGTGAGAGAAAAACGATCTCTTAATTCAGTGATTTCCGTCATTTCAAATTGCCACTATATTTACTTCGTGACACTTATTTCAATCAATGTGTCAGTGGGACAGTTCAGTAGGCTATGTGTGTGTCGAACATTTCAGTGAATTACATTTGTTGGGGTTGGTTATATGTGTGAAAGAAAGCGAAAATGTTCACTTTAGCGATGAGGAGGCTTCATTTAAACTCTTTAAGAAGCCGTCTGACACAAGGGGAAAAATTACTTGCAGCAGTTGTTTTCCATCCCATTAGATCACATTTTTTAAAATAATCTGTCCAGGAGGTGGCGCTGATCAACATCAGTATTAGTTCAAAGACGTTAAAAGCAAATAAAATAGATTAAAACTATCATTTCAAAGCTATTCGAATGTGACTCTTTATATGCATCAGCTGCCAACTGGAAGTTTTTAGCATCCTCCTTGCACATACACGCAAAGCATAATGGGTAAGAAAAAGGTCTATGATGCTTACTCTGTAGTTTACTTTGGCAGTAAATTATAAAAATAAATGTTACATTATTATTTCTTCTAAACAAAATAATCATTTTTTCCACAGCTTTTTCATTATTTTGTATTAATTTTGCAAATCCATATTTATCTGGATTGCTTTGCTTTTTTAGTGTAGATTATAATATGGTCAAAGCATAGACTTTAAAAATGCACAGATCTTAAATGCACATTGAATGCATTCAAATAGCAACAAATGATAACCCAAAGCCTCCACCTGTAAATATGGAAATAAACAAATAAATAAATAAAAATAAATAATAAAATAACAGTCAAAAACACGATATACCAGCCTTGATTCTAACATAAACTCTAAACCTAATCCCCTTTCCAAACGTGAAGCAAACACTTTCAAAGTTTCCCAAATCCCAAATTAGGTGCATTTCCATCAAGTTGTTTGAGTTGCTGACTGTAGAATTGGTAATCTAGTAACCAGCAGTAAACAAGGCAAGCATAATGGGGTCATGTGGGTTTAATGTTCACTACATCAGGGTTTAGTTTGCAAATGTGCTTACATGACACAGGGATTTGCTTATTAAGACTTACACTTATGCTGGATTTCAAATAAAGAAACCTCTCAACAATAAGTTCAAAAAGTTCAATTAAAAAATCGAATTTTGAATATTCGTCAAAAAAGACAGTCGAATACAAAAGAAGAAATCGATGAAAAAAGATAATTCTTGCTAATCTCTGTGATTTTGATGAATTATGAAGATCCGCAGTGATTGTGAGCAACTTAAATTTGGATTTTGCATTCGTGTCATGGTACTAACATTACCCTGTGTGTTGAATTGTGTTTTTTCAGGTTATTGATGCACTCAGTTTTATTTGATTCCTAATTTCCACTACATGCACATGAAGGAAATTCTATTTTATTTAAAAACAGTTGTTTTAAAGATTATGCACTTTAAAAAGTTAAATTTAAATTATTGAAATTTAATGTGGGCGTCACGGTGGCGCAGCGGCTAGCGCTGTTGCTTCACAGCAAGAAGGTCGCTGGTTTGAGCCTTGGCTGGGTCAGTTGGCATTTTTGTGTGGAGTTTGCATGTTCTCCCTATGTTTGAGTGGGTTTTCTCCGGGTGCTCCGGTTTCCCCCAACAAGTCCAAAGACGTGGTATGAGTGAACTGGGTAAGCTAAATTGTCCATATGTGTGTGAATGAGTGAGTATGGATGTTTCCCAGTTATGGGTTGCAGCTGGAAGGGCATCCCCTGTGTAAAACATATGCTGGATAAGTTGGTGGTTCATTTTGCTGTGGTGACCCTTGATTAATAAAGGGAGTAAGCTGAAAAGAAAATGAATAAATGAATAAAATTAGATGTTAATAAAAGATGTGATGCTGTGATGCCACAGGAGTATGCACATCATACTCTTTTGGGCATAGCAGACAATACAGTACTTTTTGTAAAATAGTATTGGCTTCAGAATTGAAATTTTATAAGAATTGTGCTTATATTTGAGAACGAAATTCGAATTTAGGGTTTCAGCCATATTGTCAGCTTCTAAACTGCAAAATATAAAATACTCTAGTACTCTAAGTCTCCATAAAAAGTCTCTTGCCACTTCTGTATGAATTAAGCTTTTAAGTATCTGTTGATTTTCTCCTCTATTCTGCCCCCGTGTTCCTCAAAATGCTCTGTATCATAGTTACTGCCTGGGGAGGAGGACGGTCTTCCCTGATTCACAGCATACCGGCCATGCCTGAAGTCCTGAGCTCATGCCACAGTTTGGCTAATAACATTCCCTGGCAAGGCTTGACTCATCCTTACAGACAGTCTGCCAGATACTTTTGCCATTACAGCTGTTTGGGATACAGTAAACAGTTACTAGAGACCTCCTTTTATCAAGGTGTTGAGAGAGGTCTTGTTTATAGCAATCTGTAGAGATCATATTTAATATTAAATACAAGCATTGAATATAGTTGTTCATAGCACCTCAGTTCAACTTTATGACATGCACAATATGCTTTCTGTTATATGATTAAATGGTTTGTGGAGATAAGTGTATGTTGTTGCACTGCTGGGGTTTATGTATTCATCATACATATATTGCAGCGATTGAAAACATACAGTGTAACTTGAGAAATGCACACCAGGTCAGAGGTCAAGTGAAACATTCTAACTCCAAAGTTCATTCAGAGTTCTGTCTCCTCCTCAAACAGAGTTTTTAAGGACAGCTGTGGGAAACTCATAGAAACAGCAAACACGTTGTGCCCGCAGCCCATTTAAACCACGGTATTGATTTGTTTCCTCAAAGTTAAACGAAGCGAGTCCATCAATATCTCAAATTAGATTTAAAGCTTGAAAAATGAATAGGCAGTCAAATCATGCTCCTAAATTAAACGCAAAACAAAAGAAAGCTTTTTGTTTAGATTTAATAGTTTTAATGTCTTTTGATGCCTTATCGATTAGCTCATTCAATTAATCAAGAGTTGACGAAAAAGCAAACGATTCATTGTGTTCTTTTAAATGGATGCACATTTTAGTTTAAAGGGTTAGTTTACACAAAAAAAAAGAAAAAATATTGTTATTAATTACTCACATCCCTTTCCTTCCAATCCTCTGAGACTTTCCTTCATTTTCAGAACACACATTAAGATATTTGAGATTAAATCTGAAAGGCACCGGTCCAAAGATGTTCAAAATCCAGAAAAGGAACCTAAAAAATTGTCGAATCACTTCAGTGGTTCAACTGTAATCATATGTAGCCCTAAGATCACGTTTGTGTGCCAAACAACTGAATATTAATTGCAAAATTACAAAAAAATAGCTTTTTTTTGCCAGCGTCTAACTTGCACCACCACTCAACAAAGGAAAGAAAACATTGTTGAGCAAAGCTGTTTCTACAGTTTTAATTCATTCATTTATTTTCTTGTGGGCTTAGTCCCTTTATTAATCTGGGGTCGCCACAGCGGAATGAACCGCCAACTTATCCAGCACATTTTTATGCAGCTGATGACCTTCCAGCTGCAACCCATCTGTGGGAAATTTTACAGTTTTTTATTTATTTATTTTTTTGGTTCACAAAAGTGTTCTTAGAGCTTCACATAAATTCAGTTGAACCACTGAAGTCATATTGAGTGGTTCGTTTTGTTCCTTTGTTTCGGGACAATGTCAAAATTCTTTTGCATTTTGTCACAAATAATTGGTATGACCTCTGTTTAGTTGCATCCACCTGGTTGCCCTGTGGTCAAGAGTACAAGCCACTGCATGTTCAGAGCATGCTGAGTTCTACCGCCTGCTTTAAAGCATGGAAAACACCGTTGCTAGACGTCTGTAAAAAACTAAGATGCCAGATGCACTGCATGCCTTCAGTGGCGTTTATCAGGATGTGAACGACCACATAAGAAAGCTCTCAGCATGCCACAGTATGGTGTGTGGTGGGGTTGGGAGCTAAACAATATCAGGGGCTCCTCAGCTTATTCTCTATTGCTCTCTCCTCCACTTACCTCTGGGGCAAGAGTCACACTGAAGCCAAAAAACTTGGACTTTAGGCTCTGATAAAGTTGCACACTCATATTTTCATTTCTTTAATGGAAGTTTGCTGAAGCAGTGTGCCATAAATGCAATTTGCATCTAATGTCAGAACTTTGACAGAGGGCAAGCTCTGATCCAACAAAGTTTTAATTGACAGAAGAGCCATGAGGACAGATGATTTACTTTCAAAGCACGTCTTGAGACATTCTGTCAATGTCAGGAGGCTCAAGGTTTTAACTCAAGAACTCTGAATCAGTTCTGAATTAAGTAAATTAGGTTATGCAATTATCAGTAGTGAGATTGTGTTGAATATTCAGCAATACAATCTGCTTGTTGTAATTGCAGTGTTCATTAAAACAAGTTTAAACAGCATTAGGTTTTTATACTTAACTATTGTTTTGTTTTTGTTTTTTACAATGGGCAAAGCATTTTTATAAAATCTTAAAAATAAAAGGTTCCAAAAGACCCTATTTTTTTTTTTTTTTCTTTAGGTGATGGAAAGTTTTCATTGATGTTCTTCATGTTTGGACCATGTAAACCAAAAGTCTAAAGTAACTATTCTGAATAACCTAGCCACTGCATATAACAAGTAGCTAAACAGTTAACCACAGAGATAAACCAAATAAATAGTGACTAATGAAAAATGTGCAAGTAAAACAAACGAAAACGTTGCCATACATTTGCATTAAAAAAAAAAACCCGTAACGTTGTTTAAATGCACATCATTTTGGAGGTCACATTACATCTGTTACCTGAAATAAATAAAGACAGCATATCACCAAAAAATTTAAAAACACAACTCACCTTGGAGGTCGCGCAAGCGTTTTGTTGCTACTTCAGTGTTGTTCTTCAGTCCAATTTAAGTCCAACTGCCTCGGAAAGTAGACATTCAGATGTCAAACACTCATTCTGCATGAACTGTCCCTGCTGTATCTGCGCTCCCCTGTGAAGACAGCGGAATGATGCTGACTGGTGACAAATCCCGCTAGGATGTGATTACTACGCGCCTGAACGCGCTTTCACTGGAATGCGCGCTGAGATGCTGCGTCGACGGGTCTGTACTCTACGCGCGCTCTATGAGTGAGTCCATGCGGTTGCTTTAACCCCAAACAGTGCACTGTTTGAGTTATACATGCTTATATATATTAAATAAGACACATACTGCATAAGCAAGATACAAATTTCCGTCAGTGAGTAGGAGCACGTGTGTCGTTCTCTTATAAAGTGAGCGCGCCGCGCGAATTCCCTTGAATAACTGAATAAAGCGCGCGCAAAATAAACAAACACACCGCAATCTATTCAATTACTACATATATACACTCCACTTTTCTCGCATGGTTAATATACAGCTTTGAAACTGTATTGAAAATAAGTTTTCAGAACACTGACATTGACGAATTGTTCAAAAAAAGTGGAGAGCACTACCCAAAGCTCCTGGATGATAAGTTTGAGGACACCAGCAGCAGCACTTAAAATATTAGTGTCCTGTAGGGCGCTCCGCCAACACCAATCCAGGTCTGATTATTGTTCTGCAGAAGATCTGACCTTAGGCTGTCATTCCCTCTCCTGTATCATAAAGCTCCTTGCCAGAAAATGAAATATCTGATGTACTGTAATACATTAATATTTAATGTCACGGCTAAAGTGATGGAATTGTGACTGATTCAGATTACATTATGAAAACAAATAGTCATATAGTTGGCCTTATGATGTAGCTATGTGCCAGCCAATAACAAATCATATTTCAAATTAGTACCCCTATTCTTTCCCCCTAAACCCTGATCTTTCTTTCTTTCTTTCTTTCTTTCTTTCTTTCTTTCTTTCTTTCTTTCTTTCTTTCTTTCTTTCTTTTTTCTTTCTTCCTTCCTTCCTTCCTTCCTTCCTTCCTTTCTTTCTTTCTTTCTTTCTTCTTTCTTTCTTTCTTTCTTTCTTTCTTTCTTTCTTTCAAGCATAAAATTATGTTTGACAGGGATGTTTAGAAAAATTTGTTTAAATATTAATAAAATAGCCTACTGATGAATTATAATTTTACATTAAAATTGTAAACAATTATTACCCTTAAAAAAATAACTGCAGTAAACTGAAGTAAAACTGCAGTAGAACAGTAGTAGATGAATAACTGCAGTAAAATTCATTACAAATTAAAAATTGCAATACAATGAAGTATAAACACAGTTCAACTACAGCACAATATAGTTCAATATTAGTACAATTTGCAGTACATTAAAGTACAACATGAGTAAAAAGAAGTAAACTTCATGTTTACTGCACTTGCCCTGTCTCTTTATCAACTTCCAACAATATATATATATATTTTTTCAGGGATGTTTTTAGAATCATGATCTTAGATCTTAGATCTTTAGAAAATCTTTAACTAAAACTAGATAACGTTTTAGTGATTTAAAAAAAATGTGTTATGTTGTTTATTGAGTTATTGAGAAAAAAACTGATTTAAGTACAACAACAAACACATTTTTTTCGTAATTCTTATAAGTAGAGTTTTACTCATCTGTACAGGAGTTCAATTGCAAAAAATAATCTTATTTTATTTCACATGTGGAATATTTGATACTATTGGGATGAACAAGGGCGCGACCTGTTTTTGTATGAAAATACTTCCATTGGATAAACATTAATATTTTGCTCATTTGGCATTGTTGAAAGTAGATGTGTTGTAGAAGTACTTCAGTTGTATTGCGGTAGTTGTATAGTAGTTGTATTGCAGTAGTTGTATTGTAGGAGTACTTCAGTTGTATTGTAGTAGTTGTATTGTAGCAGTACTTCATCTGCATTACAGTAGTTGTATTGCAGTACTTGTTTTGCAGTAGTTGTATTGTAGTAGTACTTTAGTTGTATTGCAGTTGAATTGTAATAGTTGTATTGCAGTAGTTGTATTGCAGTTGAATTGTAATAGTTGTATTGCAGTAGTTGTATTGCAGTTGAATTGTAATAGTTGTATTGCAGTAGTTGTATTGTAGTAATACTAATCCTTTATATAAAAATGTAGTAATAATCACATACATATTATTTACACAATGATTTACATGTCTTTTATGCTAAATGTCATAAACATTATTTTAATTAACCTGTATTTTGAAATTGAATAAAATATACCTTACTCTCATTTAATTTAAGTATAATTAAAATATACAAATCACTTTTGCAAATTTGAATTAATGCAAACACCAAAGTGTCTTAAACTCATAAATTGAGTATATTACATCATTGATAACAGCGTTAAAGGCAAAATGCTTAATAAAGGTAAAAACTGTGAAATCAAAGTATTTTTATACATATTTATTTCCTTTAGAAGTATCACATAACAGCAGCTTGAGCAAGTTCTGTGCTGCTATTTACAGTAGTTTAACCATTTTGTTTATGAAATATGAAGTGCTCCTTTGAGGCTGAGATGAGTTTCCCCCTCAAAAAAGAAAAACGAAATGGTGGGATGAGTTGCCCTGTTATCACTGTCTAATGACTTTCCCCCGTGAGAAGATGAGAGCTTTTGGCTTGGCGTCTCATGTTTCCTTTTGATTCTCCTGCCTGGTAGACAGGAGCACTCAGGCATAATGATTACATGAGTGAACATAATCATGCCTTTCTCTCAGCCATGTTGCCATTAGTCTTACGAATACAGCCATGCCAGTTGGGTGACTCTGAGACAAGCGGGTGACATGACTGGCATACCCATCTCTAATATCAGAAGGCAGGATGGGCACTGCCTGGGGGACCAATTGGCCATTGTGCCAGGAGAAACACACAATGAGCTCTGTGAGGCGCAAAACAAACGTGGTATTGTTTGGGGTCGTTTTTGCTGTTTACTGTGCTGGGAGAAAGTTGCACCCACTCAGAACTCTGAAGCTCCTTTGGTCCAAAACACTAAATTTAAGGCCCACTGCATCTTTTTGTGCAAGCAAAAGAAGTAAAAGAAAAAAAAGAAAAATAAATGAGAGATGAAAAGAGAACTGGTTATGAATAAAACAATTCATAACTGATGGAGAATAGTATTGCATGAAAAATTGTAATTAGCATCAATCTATTTTAAGATAGAAGATATAAAAATATCCATAAATATATGTGTTCTGATTTCTGGTTGCATTAATAAAATCATATTTTACGAATACATTAAATTACATATGCAAAAAAATATAATACATGTCTTAAACCTCACTTCTAAACCACTTTGTGTGGTTTATTTATAAACTAGTTTGGAAATGAGTGCATGCTTATGATTGAACACGGCTGGTCAGCATTAGCTACAGTAATACACAATCCACCAATCAGTTAACTCCTAACCCACCATAAATAACCAGAATTTCTTACCCTTACCCCTCTTTCCTTTAGACAGGGTGGCATGGCGGCCCAGTGCAGTGATTCATTCAACAACAAAAGCTTTTTTAGTCATGCTTATAAGTACAGTTTTACTCAAGAGTACAATGGCAAAAAAATAAAAATCTTATTTTCTTTCACATGTGGAATATTTGATATGATTGGGATGAACGAGGGCTTGCAACCTGTTCTTGTATGAAAATACATCCATTGAATAAACATTGATATTTTGGTCATTTGTCATTGTTGAAAATAGTAATAACGTTGATAATTCACCCATTTCCTAACATTGGAAATACTTACATTAAATTAACGTTGATAATTCATCCATTTCCCAACACTGAAAATACTCTCATTAAATTAATGTTGATAATTCAATCATATTGCCATTGTTGAAAATACTAACATTGAATAAATGTTGATAATTTAACCGTTTCCCAACATTAAATATATTTACATTAAATTAACCTTGATAATTTACCCATTTACCAACACTGAAAATACTAACATTGAATTAATGTTGATATTTTGGTAATTTGCCATTATTGAAAATACTAACATTGCATAAATGTTGATAATTTACCCATTTCCTAACATTGAAAATACTAACATTGAATTAATGTTGACAATTCAATACTCCTCCTTTCTTTAGACAGGGTGGAATGGTGGCCCAGTGGTTAGCACTGTTGCCTCACAGCAAGAACGTCACTGGTTCAAGTATTTACTTGGCCAGTAGACATTTCTGTGTGGAGTTTGCATGTTCCCCCTGTGCTCTTGTGGATTTTCCCTGGGTTCCCCTGTTTCCTCCCACAGTCTCAAGACATGGGATATAGGTGAATTGACCAAACCACATTGGCACTATAGACAAGCTCTAGACAGCTGTATTTCCATAGTAATCCATAATTTACCTTTAAAGATCCACTCGAGCTCAAGCTCTCCTCTCGCCCTTCAAAATGGAAGGAGCCCGGGGTTCGAGGATCTTTTACCCTTCTACCCTTTATTATCAATCATCAGCTAAGGGTGAACTCTTGGATTAGGAATTATTTTAGCTAACTATATTTGCTTTACTTAAACATTTAAACAGTTGCTGCTTATGCATAGTTAGGAAATGACAAACATACAGTACATCTATAAGAGGAAAGTGTAAACTATAGACCCACATGGATAATTATATGCATGTATAAATATACGCATAAGTATGTACATTCCTTGGCCCCAAAATGTTGTGTTTGGATTTAGGTAAGCAAATACTTAAGAATCTATGACTTGATGTTTATTGCAGTGATTCATGTTTCTGGCTTGCTACTGAAGCAATCTTTTTGTTGTTGTTGTTATTAAACAATCATGTGAAAAGATGTTTCCATGATGGCAATGCCAAGATTCATTGTCTCTAAAACTGAGATAAAGGCTTCACTTTTTACATGAATTGAGCTAAACCACACTGAATGTCTCAGGGCTCTGAGAAAGTATCTTTAGATTTGATCAGTATTTGTATGTATTTGTATTGTTTTGACAAATTTATGCAGTGTCACAAAGCTTATTTCTATTAAGAGTTTGCATTCATTTATTTTGCAGAAATGTTTTATTGATAATGTGAGCACTTTCACTGTCTGACCCTGAGACATTTCCTGCCAACTCCTGTATATCTAGCTTGCAGTTGGTTCAGATTAATTTACTAGTCAATGTATGGGCGAAAATGGAGCTGTCTTATGGAATTTCAGCCCATTTTCTACCAGAATCTTGGCATTGTCATCCTGTAAAATCTCATATATAATACAAATAAGTGAATAATTGTTAGTATGGAACATTTTATATTTGTTGTGGTAGTACACACAATTTTCACATTTCTCAGACTGTCAAAGTAAAAGTAACTTTAAAGGGATAGTTCACCCTAAAAATCAAATCGTCATCTTAGAATTACAAGGTTATATCAGCGTTCTGAATGATTTTGTGATATTGAGCTTCAAAGTTTTTGCAGTCCAATTAGCAAACAGTGTGTGTGTGTGTGTGTGTAACATTTGTTTTTTTTTTAAAAAAGTCTTAAAATGTAAACAACTTATAAAAAACATCCCATAATGTAAATAAGTTGTCAATTAATAAGAATATGTCAATAACTCAATTTTGACAAAAAAAGTCAGATAGAACTTTATAATTCTAAGATGACGAAATGACCTCATAATTTATTCTCTTTCTTTTGATTTTAAACCTTTATGAGTTTATAATTTCTGTTGAATGTTTTTTAAAATATCTTCTTTTGTATTCAACAGAATATGCTTAAATAAAATTTGAAGAAGTGAAGGGTAAGTAAATGATGACTGAATTTTCATTTTTGGGTGAGCTATCTCTTTTAATGAAACACAAAGTAGTTTTTTTTCTGGAAAAAACAAGCAAACAAACAAACATACAAACCAAACTGTGTAACAGAGATATCTCTAATCTGGTAAGAAATTATATTGACACCCTAACATAATGTTCTTTCTTCATATTAATTAACTGTTAGAATATTGGTTTTGAATACTTTACAAATTATTAACCGTGACAAATAAACGTAAAACCATGATTTGTGTGAAATACCAATACTATAGCTGTACTATTTTAGGATGCAGGCTCACAATATTGAATTAAACGTGTCAAGCTACACCTCAACTTGCTGGAAAAAACTACATTCATTTTTAAGTTGATTAAAAATGTAGCTGAGCAAATTGTAGCTTCAGTAGCTATGCCCCCAACACTGAATATCATCATGCCATTTATCATTCATCATGAACTAAAGAACTAAAATTGACGCACATTCACATGCATCAAGTCAGAAACGTATTAATTATGCAACACAGATCCAATCATAGACTCATAGACAAATATTTTCTTAAATCCAAATGGGGATTAGCTTGCTAGAGCCCTAATGCCCCTGGACTGTCCCTCCATGAAACCCTAACCAACTTCATTAAAAAGTGTAAAATGGGATCATGGGAAAAAGTACTGACTCCTTAGACCAAAAAAAAAAAAAAAAAACAAGAACTCTCCAAATCTCCCAATATCCTTTATCTAATCAACTTAAGTAATATTATATTGATGTTTCCAAGACACTCATGTTTATAAGTTCAGTGACAGGTTTATGACACATAAATGGCATGTTTTGCACGTGTAAATCATGAAAAGTATCTTTTCAGGGGCATGTTTCTGTCACAATGATTACTATCAAAATTGTCAGAACACGCAGTCACTGGCTGTCTAAACAAAGATAAACAATGAGCGCTGCGTCACTCCCTCGATGTGCAACAGAAGATGTCTGTTGTTTGTTGGTGTAGTCTTTTCAGGCCACAGATTTCACCCCTCACCTGCTTTCCGCTGGATCAGATCTGTTTGACCCTGCTGTGAGACAAAGCACAGATTATTGAGAACTTAGCCTTTACACAACGACGCCAAAAGATGATAAATGACACCGATGATGAATTAATGTCACAATAAGGTCATTGATTCATCCGATACTGGCTGAACAAAAGGTCGCCTCGAATTGTGACAAAAGTGAATGGCTAGTTTATCCACTGGTCAGATCCTGGGTGTTGAAAAGTGCCAGCTGAAAGTGCAGATAGATGAATATGAAAGACTGCAAATGAGCATCTTGGCTGGCTTGTTTTAGTACAGCTTTTTCTGTCTTTTTTTTTCTTTTTAATTGGTTGAACTGAAAGCCTTAGGGCAATAAATTGTATCATTAAAGAAATGGACGCTTAGCTGTTTTGATTTTAAGAAGATATTCAAGGCTCGTCTTGATAGAATGCTAATTTTGGCCCAAGGTCATGTTGTTTGGTATAATTAGAACAAACCTGTAAAGCCCACACTTTAAAGGGATAGTATTCCCAAAAATGAAAACTGGCTGTTAATGTATTCACCCTCTGGCTATCTACAGTTTGTGATGAAGCTGAGTTTTTCATCCGAATAACATTAAAGAAGTCCATTCATTAAATGCAAGTCAATATTACTAAAACTTACAGAGTCAAAAAGCACAATTAATATTAATATTACACTGAGGTTTCATGATGCGAAAAGATGTGCAACAAACAGTATTATTTACAGTATTATCTGTTTTGACTCTCAAAGTCAAAGTACCAGTACCCATTGATTTGCATTTTATGAACCATTACAAAAACGTCTTTAATGTTCCTTTATAGAACCTAAAGTGCCTTTGAGATGTCAGAATTAAAAAAAAAAAAGTTTGAGATTTAACCACATAGTTGTATTAATTAGACCTTAGGCTGTAAGAAATGAATGTTGGTGAAGCTCCTGCACTATTTATAAATAAATTGCAAGTAGACAAGCAGTAAACAAACCTAAAATTGTGTCAACCCTGTCACGGACAAATTTAAAGTATATTTTCATTGCAGTAGGATTAAAGTATATTTTCAGAAAGTAACAGTGTCTCTTTACCAACCTAACTTTTTAGATTATCGAAAAAGTCTATTTATATTATTGAAATAATGGACAAACATTTATTTCCAATAAAATATGCAATCGTTGCATGATCCATTCAAAATAAATCCCAAGATCAAAAATATTTTGTTAAACTTTCAATCAATATTAACTGGCCCTTACTGGTTAATTAAGAAATCACACGAGATGTTTTGCTTAGTTTATATGGAATTATTAGCCCCCCTGAATTAATAATGCCCTGTTTATCCCCCCCCCCCTCTTTCTGTTTAATGGAGAGTAGATTTCAACACATAATTGTAATAAAAAATAGTAGTGCCTAATAGTAATAAAAGCATCTTAGTTTAAATAACTAATTTCTAATATCTGATTTATTTTATCTTGGCCATGATGACAGTAAATAACATTTGACTAGATATTTTTCTTCTATACAGCTTAAAGTGACATTAAAAGGCTTAACTAGGTTAATCAGGTTAACTTGACAGGAAGGTAATTAGGCAAGTTATTGCATTACAATGGTTTGTTCTGTAGACTATCAGAAAAATGTAGCTTAAATGGGCAAATAACTTTAAAATGTTTTAAAAAAAATTTTTTAAACTGCTTTTATTCTAGTCGAAATAAAACAAGTAAGACTTTCTCCATACATAAAAAAATAAATTCAGGCTATGACTGAACATGGAGGATGGTCACATGTGGCGTTCTCCAAAATAAAATGGATCTATAGATATGTGTGCTTGTATATTTATAACCAACTCAGAGGATAGTGGGGGTCACGAGTCACTGGCATTGTTATTTTAAGGGATACAGGCTGAAAAGTTAGGAAAAGTAACACAGATCCTTCTCTATTTATTACACAGTTACTGTAAACATTATTGTGCCCTTTTGGGGTGATTAGTTCTGCAGCATAATAGATTTACAACACATATACCACACACTTAAGACAAGCATTAAGCAGCATTACCAGTAGGCTACTAAAAACAGCAACTCTTCCCAATAAAATTCAGCAAGTCAATCGCAAAAAAAAAAAAAAAATGAAAATGGGCTTTTTTTAACACCTGAATTTCATACAAATAGAATAACCCTGGCACTTTTACCCTTAATACTTTGCTGAAGGTATTTAAAACAGACAGTGGGTTCTTCTGTTTTACTTTTAAAGAAGCAAATCAACAAATCAATGAAAAGGTTTAAATGGATTCTATATAGGCCTTAAAATGCCACCATCAGAGTCCTATGCAGGGGCGTTGCTAGGTCCAATTTACTGGGGCTCGGCATGTGCACGTGAAGAAAGGTGCTTATGTCTAGCAACACCCCTGGTCCTATCAATAGTAAACTTCACAAATTTTCACAGACAATAAAGTCTTTGTTGGCCTGTCCTGCCCTTTCAGTATTTTCATCAAAATTTAATTTAATATCAATAATAGCACTTATATAGGCCTAATTCAATCAGATGGTTAACCATAGTACCTAAAACTACTTCCTGCCTCCGCTGCAGCTCAGTACACATGTCTTGTTTTCTCTGTGTTCTGTGTGTACACAAACACACCTCTTGAAATAATCCTATGTTCAGAAAAGAAGTAAAGCTTGACTAGTTCTGGTGATATTCATGAACTCAGTTTCTTTTCTTAGGATTTCCTGCCCCCTAATGGACAAGTATGCATACAGCGATCAGAAAAAAAAAGGAAAAAAGGACTGTTTCTTCTACTTTGGTTGCTATAACATTACAACAGGAAGTGGAACTAAGCTATGTAACTAACCGCTAAAGGTGGATAGTCAACATTCTGCTCCGTTACAAGTGAGTATAAACACCTTAATCTAGCTATGTTGTAGGACAAAGCTACAAAAGCGCTTTTGTTTTAGAACGGCAGGACTGAACTTGTTCTGTTTTAATAAATGTGTAATCGTAATGCTTCTTGTGAATTGACGGTTAAGATGATCTCTTCTTCAGTCCTTTAGTCATCATGGTAGACAGGAGTCCATCTATCGTGGTTGTCGGTGCAGGTGTGGCAGGACTCGCCGCTGCCAAGAAGCTGAAAGAATATGGATTTAATGACGTCACTGTGCTGGAAGCCGCCGAAAATGTTGGAGGAAGAGTAGCTACTGCAACTCTGGGTAAATACATCATAACCTGTTCAGGTTTCTGCAAAGTTCGTCACTTTTTAATCAAAATATTAAAGTTGGAAACTATTCGCCACTGTCAATAAAGTTTAAAAAGGTTAAACTCTGTAAGAATATGATAGTCATTTAAAGAAAGAGTCCTTAACCCTTTAGCTGCCCCACCAAAAAAAACAAAAAAAAATTTTTTTTTGGATTGCATTTCTTAACTCCTTTGTTAATGTCTTGTATTGTCGCAAGTTGACACTCTCAATAACGTTACATATCTCATAATTTTTAAAATATCAACTTCTACCAAATGGTTGATAATATATGTTGGTTTATGGTAAAAGTACCAGATTTAGTACATGCACTATGAAAAAGCTGAAAATATGAAGTGTAAGACCAATTTATTTAAAACATAATCAAAATAAAACATTATTGAACGCTTAATCATCTTCATGTTTTGAAGTATGCCATGAACTATTTCAGATTCTCATTTAACATGTTTTCTTTTTTACAATAAACCATAATTAAGTGTAGAAGTGCAACAAGATGTTTGTTAGATTTTTTTGTAAACCAACAATGCTGTGTGTGTAAACCATTATTCAAAGTCATTCTTTAAATGACTAACAGTCATTATTTGAAATATAGTCAACCATTTGGTAGAGCAGGCAGTTAAAGGTTTAAGAAAATCAACCAAGGTTTTATTATGGTTAATGTAACAATCATTTTATTTATTCTAATTTATTTCTTAATTTATGTGTACTTTTATTATTATTGTTGTTGTTTCAATACCAACACTAAAAATCCTGGGTTGTCATAACCAAAATGTTATGGTCAAACTATGCATTGTTGTTGTTGTTTTCAATTAAATGTAAATGAAACCCAGTGGTTTGGTTTGTCCATATTTCACACAGCATTGGATTACCGCAACATTTTATTGTGTAATACCATTAGTAATAGCAGTAAAACCATATACCAATAATATTTCATTAAACATTGCACATGAGGATGAGAATTTTTGTAAACATTAATTGCAAGTTTTAGTAGTAATGACTAAATTACTATCAGAAAACCAAAAACCAACTACAAGCATCAAATAAGTATCTTTTAATGTATTACATAATGTATATTATGTAAGTGTTTACAATATTGTGTACAGTTGAAGTCAGAATTATTAGCCCCCCTGTTAATTTTTTCCCAATTTTCTTTTTAACAGAGTAAACATGTAAACTAAACATGTTAGTTTTAATAACTCATTTCTAATAACTGATTTATTTTATCTTTGCCATGATGAAAGTAAATAATATTTTACTACATTTTTTTCAAAACACCTTTATACAGCTTAATGTGACATTTAAAAGGTTTACTGGGTTAGGTTAACTAGGCAGTTTAGAGTAATTAGGCAAGTTATTGTATAGCAATGGTTTGTTTTGTAGACTATCGAAAAAATATATAGCTTAAAGGGGCTAATAATTTTGACCTTAAAATGTTTTTTAAAAAATTAAAAACTGCTTTTATTCTAGCCAAAATAAAACAAATAAGACTCTGTGAAAATTTCCTTTCTCTGTTAAACATCATTTGGGAAATATATAAATAAAAAATCAAAAAAATCAAAGGTGGCCTAATAATTCCGTCTTCAACTATAAGTGTTTGTTGCACTAATCAAACATATTCGTTATATAACTGTTATGCAAATTCATATTTTGAAGATCTTCCAGTTTTGACATGTAAATGTGGCATTTTCCAGTGTTAATGCAAAGGAGACAAAAAGAGGTTGTTTCTTAGAGGAAACTATTTTAGGAAACCTTAATCTTTGGACTCATGACTTAGTTTCACTTCCATTAAAAATTCCAAAATCCTTTTTTTGCTGTGTTGACGGATTGCATCACATCATTTAAAATCCATCCAAGCAAAAATATGTTCCTTCTTGAACCAACCATTTTGCTAATCTTCATAAGAATTTTCTTTATTATTATTATTGCTAAATCTCAAGAAATTGTATATATTTAAAGGTGCAGTATGTAAGTTTGACACCCAGTGGTTGAACTAGGCATTGCATTCCTGGATCAAAACAAATGCAAGTGCAGGTTGCCAGATTGTGGGCCGACAGGAGCAAGCCTAAATAGCGAACCCAAAGGCTTATTTAAGGCTGATTTAAATCGTGTTCTATATAAAAGAAACGGCACGTGATAGAATAAATATTTTCCATATTAAAAGTTGTTTTTGTTCTAACTAACTCCTCAAATTGATATATTAGAAATTACTTCTATTTCTTTCAGCTGAACAACAGAAAACTGACAACGATCCTCACCTCATGTGCTTTATTCAGTGTTAAATGCTAACAATGTGAGTTTGAATCCCATTTTACATGACAGTTATTGCCATACCACTGAAAGCAGCAGCAGATTTTACCCCAGATCTTGAAAATGAAATAAACCATTTGAAGTTGAACTTTAGAACTGCGAAATAATGCAAACCAACACATATTAGTGATTCAGCATGTACATTTAATAATCTTAAAGAGGTTTTAAATGATCTAAGATAATTTGCCAGATCCTGGATCTTTTAATCTGGATAACTGATCTCTGGCTAATTTAGTTCACGAAGTTCACGAATCAGATAAAAATGTCTGGATAAACTGATCTGAGATTGCTGCATGTGCTGTGAAGGACAGATCTATCGATTCTCGAAATTATGATCATCAATGTAATGATTGGCTAACGCCACAGCAGCGTAATGACATCATCTGATTAATATTCAATTATCCATGTGTGCAAAATGACATCAAATTAGCAGTAAACGGTTTGTTAAATATGACAAGCAATAACTTTCCACATTTGTTGTGGGCTGCAGGCTTTACACATTCATGTGTCGAGTATTCATCATGTATTTCAATTCACAGCAATGTATTTAGTTGTACATTTAGAGAAGATTTTCTATATTATAGGAGCCTAGGCCTACTCAAGTTTTTTAATTGGCGTAAGGAATAACTGTTTAAATTAATTTTGCATCAAAAAAGCATTTGGATATTGGTAAAGGTTTCATTGTGCATGACTGCATAAATTATTACCCTTATTTTTAAAAAGTCGAATATTGTGCTGTAAGCGTTTGCATCTAAATAGTTCATATTAATAAACTTTCACTTTGAACCACCAGGTGGCAGTCTTTTACTTTTATTAAGGAGTGCAGATTGCATAAGTTTTATTAATATATATTTTATATATATATATATATATATATATATATATATATATATATATATATATATATATATATATATATATATATATATATATATATATATATATATATATACATACATACATATATACATATATATATAGTATATATATATACTATTTTCCCAAGTGTAAATAAATACTGTCTAATCCTGTTTATATGAAATGAACCAGCTCCTACGCAGGTTTGATTTATCAGATCTGTTACTATGACAACAAGTCTCAGATGAGTTTTGAAGAACGAAACGTGTCAATGTCAAATCGTGTCAAATCATTAACATCCAAATCCAGCTAATTGAGTAATCCACACACGAAGAACGGACCCCTGCTTACATAATGTTTCCATGTATAATATTTATATTACTTGCTAATTAATAACCTCTTGTGGGACTCTGAATCTGCGTCTCATTTTGGAGTCTGTTACTGTCCATCGGAGGTCCCATTTTGATCACAGATGCATGCTTTGAGAACTTTTTTGAATGAATGAATGAAATATACGGTTTTCCAATAAGGCAACCCGGAGTGCTGGAATATAATTGGCTAAAGTGGCAGTGGGCGGGTTTAAAGAACCAAAACACAGACAGCGCTCTTGCACGTAACAGACATTTTCAAAGCAGAATATCTGACTTCAGCATTGTTTTTCAGATAAACAAGAATGTTCATTAAGCATGTTTCCTAAAAATTTCCAAAAATATTATGGTATTTTTATGCTTTAGAAGAATCAAAAGTTTACATACAGAACCTTTAATTATATAAAGGAGTGTTAGGTTATATACCATATTAAAGAACCCCTATTATACATTAAATAGGGTCATATTTTGGTTGTAAGGGTCTCCAACAACAGTCTAATATGCATGTAAGGTCAAAAAACACTTTCATTGTCTTATAATATGCATTTATTTTTAATTGTCCCAGCGACTCCCATTTGAATCATTCAGCGATATATTTGTTCCCAAACCCCTCCTTAGCGCAAAGCTAATCTACGCTGATTGGACTGATGACAGCCTGTTGCAATAGGTAAACAGCGTTCAGCGCGAGACAGAGTGAAATGCCTAGCACAGCTTATCAACAACATACAGTAGAAGTAGTCAGAGTGCATAGTGGATGTGTGCGCATACCTGCCTACATTCCTGTTTTTCCCGGGAGTCTCCTGTATTTCAGACCCATCTCCAGCCCCTCCCATTTGTTATTTATCTCAAAAACTCCCGTAACCCCCCCCAACCCCCCCCCCCCCCAAATTTTCCTGGGTTTGCTCACGCAACAACTGGGTAGGGGTTAAGTTTCGTATCCATGTCACGCCAAAACAGTTAAAGACTCATTATTAAGACGATTCATTTGAAGTACGAGGATTCTTTTATAAATGAATCAATAGTTGTAAACACTGTCCACGTTCAGATTTAAGCCTTAGCTGGATATTTCACTTCACTTAGAGCTGCGTTACACACTACATGAAAGGTCATTCTCAAAAACCCATATTAGGGGCTCTTTCAAATCTAACAGTCACTGTCTTTCTTTTTATATCAAAGGTAATGCATGTGTTGACACCGGAGCACAGTACATCCATGGGACGTCAGAAAAAAACCCAGTCTACTGTCTACTAAAAGGCCTTCTAAACCAGCTCCCTGAGATGGGCGAAGAAGCATTTTACAATAATAAAGGGCACAAAGTGAATGCAAACTTCGCCAGACGTGCGTATGAACATGGGGAGAGCTTCATTTATCACCGTGGCTCGGGAAACTCAGGAAAGAGTTTAGGTGAACACTACGCAGTGAAAACCCAGGGTGTGATTGAACGTTTGCAAGAAGATGAGAAAGCAAGAATGCAGAGTGTTTTTGCTTTGGTCGGAAAAGACATGCTGATTGACATTGGTGCTTCAGACCTTCACAGAATCTCTCTAGACTCGTGGCAGTATTATATCGATATGGGGGACAGCGTCAATATTACAGGGTATGACGATCATGTGCATTTATTGATCGTTAAATGTTTCATTTAGGGTTAATTATTGTATGTCCATCAGGTTCATGTATCAGCTTGTGGATCTACTAAAAGAAGACTTCCCTAAGGATCGTCTGCTGCTGAAAAGAGAAGTCCGTACGATCAAATGGGATGGATCCTTCCCTTCTCCGCAAAATGAAGCTTCTCCTGAAGGAAAAGTCCGCCAATACCCTGTTTGCATTGTCTGTGAGGATGGGGAGGAGATTCTAGCTGATCATGTAATAGTTACCGTTTCACTGGGTATGTGTTGATAAGGATTGAGCTCTGATGAGACTAAATACTCACTGGCCACTTTATTAGATACACATTGCTAGGTGCTTTCTTGTTCTCTATCATCCAAGTTTCACAGCAGAAATTGAGGTCATCGATCCTTCTTGTCAAGTTTTGCTGAGACTGTGTGAATTAAGTTTGCTGTTCTCAGCTGACAAGAGTGTTGCCCGGGTCGAGCTTCTTCTGCTGATGTTTACTCATCTGCTTCAAGATTTAATGCAATGTGCACTCAGAGATGCACTTCTGTTGGCTTTTACTTGAAACTTTTTCACCATTCTTGTCTGACTTCTGACATTGATAATTTTTACCCATACATATTTTATTTTTTCTGACCATTTTCGGTAAACTCTTGAGATTGTGGTAAAAATCACACCAGCCTGTCTGGCATCAGAAATCATGTCACAATCAAAGTCACTTAAATCAACTTTTTTCCCCTCATTCTGATGTTTGGATTGAACGTTAGCATGTCTTCTTGATCAAAATGCACCGATGTTGCGACTATGTGATTGGCTATAAGTAGTTTTAAGGGTGTACCTAACAAAGTGGCCAGTGAGTGTATTTATAGCCAGTTACAATGGATCTTCTCTCTGAGTAACTAAGTGTTTGTGTGTTTGTTTGTGTATGTGTGTTGTTGTTGCTTTCTTTCTTTCTTTCTTTCTTTGCAGGTTGCCTAAAAGCACAAGCATCCGACCTCTTCATCCCCAGTCTTCCAACTGAGAAAATTGAGGTCATCAATAAGCTGTGCTTTGGCAATATTGCCAAGATCTTTCTGGCGTATGAAGAGGCATTCTGGGAGAATGATGTTGGTTCTATCAGCTTCATTTATGAGGATGACACTCCTGCCTCCATTTCCACCAACAAAATGCAGTGGCTCAAAAGCATGCAGAGCTTTTCTGTCCTGAGGCCCAAAGAAAGGTTAATCTGGGGTATCTGCTGGGTCTTAAAATGTCTTAAATCTCTAAAACAAAATTTTAGGCCTTAAAATGTCTTAAATTTAATGAAATATTGTGTTGTAGGTCTTAAATCTCTTTTAGTCAGGTCTTAATTTTCCTTTCTTCTTGTATAGCTACCCAGTATGGCCAACACCCATCTATATACACAGCACACACGCACACTTCTTGGCTGAGTCTTGTTATACAGTTTTGTAACATTGCGACGTGTTTCCCTTGCCTTTCTTTATCGTGTTTTTAACCCTCACCTTGTTTGCTTGTTTGTTTATGTCAGAGGTCTCAAACTCAAATTGGTAGAGGGCCATTTTAGTGACTTAAAATTCATAGGAGGGGCGCTTAAACATTCAAGCATAATAAAAAAGTGGAAACCTGACAATTCATGCTTCTTAGGACAAAAGACATGACATTTATATTTCAAGCATTACCTGTCACCAGCGATAATGCAAATCAGCACATTTATCGTGTCGCACATCAGCTGCTAAAATACATTTGTGGTTGTTGTGTGTATGGCCGAGTGTTAGACTCCCACTCAATCATTCTTCCACAGAGTATATGCAGTCAAAACTCTAGCTTTTGTACATTTTAAAGGGGTAGTTTAAACTGCTATGAAAATACTAGGCGTAATAATTATTATTCTGTCCCAACCAATTGTATTTTTTCAATAGCGTAACAACAGCAGAAAGCAGTTTGGGCAACTTAAGTGACTTTACTTGCAATTGTTCTTCTCAATATCTTTCTATTTTGTAACACTACAACAAAGAAGGGAAAAGTATGTGCACATTCACATTTACTTTACCAAGTTCAATTGAACTAGCAGTACAATTTTCAGAATGAGACCATTTGAATCGAATATTAGTGAGTTTAGCATATTTGCTACACCACCAGCATAACGTGTAAGCCATGAAGAAGCATTTATACAACAAAATTTAGGTTGTATAAAACAATCAACCCATGAATATTTGCAAAAATAGAGCTTTATTAAAAATAAAACACATATGGACGTATATTTTAACGTTTAAATCAGCCACAGAATTAAAATGCATGTGTGTTACTCTCGACCGCACACTGAGAGAAAAATTAAACTAAAAACTAGTCTGAGTGCTGTACTTTAAATGTCAACTAGGTGGCGCGTCAAAACCACAAATGGCTAGAAGCAACTGCACAACAATGATAGTGGTTCAAAAATATATGTTTTGGCAGGTTACAAATCTCTTTATATTTTTGACAGGAGTTGCGGGCCGGCAGTTTGCTTGCCTGACCATAATCAATAAACCTGCATTTGGATCCGCTCTTTCTTGTCAGCGTCCCACTTCACATAACAGAAGACTCCCAAGAGCTGTGTGTGCTGTATAAATAGTTTATGTAATCAGTTCATAAGCGGCTCCCAGCTGTGAGTGTGTGTAATCTACTGAATGAGGAACAGGTGTGTGTGTGAGCGGTGCATGACTGGAACTTGTAGTTCGTTTGCAGGCAGATTTGTAGTTCTGGCAGATTTTTAAAATCCTTATTGTCACAGTCACCAGCTATTTAGCCCATGCAGATCGCTGGTGACTGTTACAATAATGATCTTAAAAAGGTCTTTAAAAATATTAAAATTACCTTGCTGAAACCTTCAAGAGGAGAAACCCTGATTACACAACTGTGAAATATTCAGAAGATCAGAAAAACTAATATTGCTAATAATAAAAACTTGTGAAATCAGGCTAAATGTATTTCATGGACATAATGGGTTGGAAATGAGTAGACATTGAACAGTTTAAATAATATAATAGTGTGACACCTTTAAGAATGCAGCACTGTTGATTTTTCCTTCTCTTATTTTTAGGTTTGGAAATGTATTAATTGGCTGGTGTCCTGGAGAAATAGCAGACCTGGTTGAAACCATGACAGATAATGAACTCTCAGCTGCTGTCACTGACCACCTCAAAATGTTCTTTGGTAAAGTATCCTTTAAAGTAAATGTTATAACTAGCTAGTGCTTTCTAATGTGTGTTATTGAACTTAAAACAAATGAAGAACTTTATTTAAATTTCAATGTTGTATTTGGGATAAGTATCATCTACTTTTATATATTTGTTTCCTACCCTGAAGGACCCAGTGCAAATATTCCACAGCCCAAATCTATACTGTGCACTAAGTGGCGCAGCAACAAATTTATAAAGGGAAGTTACACTTTTCTTCCTGTTGGTGTTGATGGGCAAGTTATGGACACACTAGCACAACCACTAGAGGGCAGCCAGTTTCCTGATGCAGTAAGTAATTTTTTTCATGTCATTCATTCATTCATTCATTTTCTTGTCAGCTTAGTCCCTTTATTATTCTGGGGTCGCCACAGCGGAATAAACCGCCAACTTATCCAGCAAGTTTTTTTTACGCAGCGGATGCCCTTCCAGCCGCAACCCATCTCTGGGAAACATCCACACACACATTCACACACTCATACACAAGGGACAATTTAGCCCACCCAATTCACCTGCACTGCATCTCTTTGGACTGTGGGGGAAACCGGAGCATCCGGAGGAAACCCACGCGAAGGCAGGGAGAACATGCAAACTCCACACAGAAACGCCAACTGAGCCGAGATTCGAACCAGTGACCCAGCGACCTTCTTGCTGTGAGGCGACAGCAATACCTACTGCACCACTACCTCGCCCGTCATTCATTTATTCATTCATTTATTTTATTTTCGGCTTAGTTCCTTTAATAATCAGGGGTCGCTACAGCGGAATGAACCGCCAACTTATCCAACATATGTTTTACGCAATGGATGCCCTTCCAGCAGCAACCATCACTGGGAAACACCCTTACACTCTGATTCACACACATACACTATGGACAATTTAGCTCATTCAATTCACCTATATAGCATAGTCATTGAATTGTGGGGGAAAACGGAGCTCCCGGAGGAAACCCACACGAACACGAGAACATGCAAACTCCACACAGAAATGCTAACTGACCCAGCCAAGGCTCGAATCAGCGACCTTCTTGCCCTAAGGCGATAGTGCTAACCACTGCACCACCCCTTTTCATATATCGTTATAATAAAATAAAGCAAGTAATGGATAATAACTGTGTTTTTTAAACTACATTTGAGTGAGATATAGACTTTATAAAGATGTTTTTAGTATGTCATCTCATGTAGAACTAAAGCATTTTCACTTTTATTTCAGCATCTGCAGGTCATGTTTGCAGGTGAGGCCACGATGAAGACTCTTTATGGCACAGTGCAAGGAGCTCTACTTTCAGGACACAGGGAGGCAGACAGACTGGCAGCACATTATAAGGATGCAGTGGCTTCCACTTCAGCTTCAATGGACAAACACGTTTAAAGAGTTACATTTATATTATTTGTCTAAAATTCAGACTAGTGTACTAGTACTGAACAAACCTACCCCCTGATGTTGCTCCAGAGTGTTTTAATAAGAAAAGAACGGGGGTATTAGATGTACCATATATTTATCTTTGCCCACATTTACAGCAAACAATGCAGAATCTTTTTCAAATTAAAATATATGAATTAAGATCAATGTAATGAGAGGATGACATGTGGATAAACTGGTTATCTCTTATCTTGGTATCTTAGTCATGAATGGATGGAAAGTGATTTTAGGACTCTGCTTCCCAATTTTGACTAACCTATAATGAGATTTTTTATATACTTTCTGTGAAGTTGTACATTTTCAGGTGTTAAAGGGAAAACTAAAAAAGTAATAATATTAGGAATGGATGGAGCATTGGGGGCGTTGACACGGTGGTGTAGTGGGTAGCACGATCGCCTCGCAGCAAGAAGGTCGCTGGTTCAAGCTTAGACTGGGTCAGTTGGTATTTCTGTGTGGAGTTTGCATGTTCTCCCCGTGTTGGTGTGGGTTTCCTCCGAGTTCGTTCGGTTTCCCTCATAGTCTATACACATCCGCAATAGGTGAATAAACTAAATTGGCCGTAGTGTGTGAGTGAGATTGGATGTGTATGTTCAGTAGCCTACTGCCGCTGGAGCTTTGAAGGACATCCACTGTGTAAAACATATGCTCCATAAGTTGGAGGTTCAGTCCACCGTGGCGACCCCTGATGAATAAAGGGAATAATCCGAAGGAAAGTGAATGAATGTAGCATTGCTCCCGTTGTTGTTTCTACTTGGTGGATTTCCTCAGTCCAGTTTGACAAATTCTAGTTATTCATGATGCAAACTGTGTACCCAACAAAATGTTCTCAAAGACTAGAATAAAACATTGGCACTACCTGAAACGCATTTGCTTATTTGAACTTGTGTAGTGGTTTTCTTGGTTTTTCTCTTACTGAATCAAACTCTTGTCTGGAGGTTATGAATATCAGAAGAATATACTTTATTGTTGACAACAAAGGAGAACTTTCAGGAGACCCCCAGTAGCATCTCTGTCTGAAAAATTCTAACTCACTCATCTTCTGGCCTTACTTAAATACCCTTTTACATCCGTTGTTTTCCTTTGTTCTCCATATATTACACAAGATCCCTCCTAGTTTAACCCTTGACCCCAAATTCCACCTCTGTCATCTGTTTTTGTCTTAGTTCTACATATATCACACAAATTCCACCTAGGTTAACCCCTGACCTCAATTTCCACCTAGGTTAACCCCTGACCTCAATTTCCACCTAGGTTAACCCCTGACCCATACCTGGTAACCATATAACTTATCCATTTCTTGTGATATGGTAATTATTCTAATGGTATGCAAGTCTACAAGCAGATTATACACATACAATTTAAATATATATATATATAAACTTCACACTTTAAAGAGTATAAAATCCACTTCACTTGATAATGTATGTCAATCCATGAAAAGTAATCGGACCTTGAGCTGTCCCTGCTGAAAAATTCAGCTTAAACCAGCCTAGGCTGGTTTAAGCTGGATATTTCTGCATGGGGTGCTTTGCTTCTATCTGTTTTCTTCCTATTTGTATAACGAGTTGAACATATGAACATACTTTCTGTATATATATATTGAAATAAAATATCGTGCTAAACTTTGACTTGGTTATTAAGGTTTTGAGTAGTCAAGTCGCATAAATAAACTTTAAACAAAACTCCAAACGGAACTAACAGAAGCTGCCGTACAAGTTTCCAGGGGGACATTTATGCTGATGCACCTCCATGCCGTTTGTTGATGGTGACCTTCTTCATCCTGAAGTTATGTATATAATCTTACACTTATGAATACATTTATTAGATAGACAACTCCAACGTTGCAAACATAATGACAATGGCTTTAAATACAGTTGGTCATCCCTGCAAGGGCTTATTTAGGTAAGTCGCAAACCAGGAGCACCGTAATGTATAACGTGATAGTCCGTGTATTTTAGCTTTACATTACCTCACAATTTATTCTGCCTTGAGTGGTTTTGAACCTGTTCTGAGTTTATTTCTTCTGTTTAACACAAAAGAAGATGTTTTGAAAAAATGGTTGCTGGAACCCATAGACTTCAATTGTAGGAAAAAATATGTATGACGTAAGCATTAAACGACCAACATTTTTCAAAATATCTTCTTTTGTTTTCATAACAGTTTACTGAATCTCGAGTAGGTTTTAAAGAAGTGAAGAGTGAGTAAATTATGACAGGAATGTAATTTTTGGTGAATAACATTTTGCATAATTGCTTTGTTAAACTGCAGCTACGTTAATGAAATTGAACTAAAGTTCTAAAGTAATATTTAGTTTAATGTGATTGTTTGTACATTTGCTGTTATTGTTTTGCACAGGTGTCTTCAGGCAGTTTTCACCCACAGATGTTTGCAAGCCACATCCTCATTTCACAGCACAGTCATTCAGTCAGATTCCAACAGAACCAGCGTGGTCCGGCTTGGCAGGCAGAAATATGAGAGAATGTATCCAGTTCTGCTGGTCAGACCTGACGGGTCCACCATCAACATCAGATATCAGGAGCCCAGAAAGTTAATGAAGGTTAGTTCTTTATATTCATTCATTTTCCTTCGGCTTAGTCCCTTTATTTATCAGGGGTCTCCACAGCGGAATTAACGGCCAACTATTCCATCATATGTTTTACACAGCGGATGCCCTTCCAGCCGCAACCTAGCACTGGCAAACACCCATACACTCACATTCACACACATACTCTACGGACATTTTAGTTTATTTATTTCGCCTATAACACATGTCTATGGACTGTGGGGGAAACTGGAGCACCTGAAGGAAACCCATATGAACACGGGGAGAACATGCAAACTCCACGTAGAAATGCCAGCTGACCCAGTCGGGGCTCGAACCAGTAAACTTTTTGCTGTAAGGCAACAGTGCTAGCCACTGAGCCACCGTGTGAGCCACTGTGCCACCTAGTTCTTTATATCTTCCTTATTAACTCAGCAGGCACAGGAAGTCAACATGCTGATTGACGTTGTGACCCAGCATCGTGGGGTGTTTCATTTTGTTTGGCAATGAAAATCGGGTTGATGTCAAAACCCAACGTCAGGCCGACACTTTCGTAACTTTTCAACGCAACCTATAAATAACCAAATATCAATGATGTTACAGATTGATGTTGTGTGGACGTTACTAATATGACGTCTATCAGATGCTGGATTTTGGTTGCCATACCTGAATAAATGTCAGTATTTGACATCAATATGACATTGGTTTTAACCGGGGTGCCCAAACTCGCTCCTGGAGGGCCGGTGTCCTGCATAGTTTAGCTCCAACTTCCTTCAACCCTCCTGTCTGGAAGTTTGTTGTATGCCTTGAAAGAGCTTGATTAGTAGGTTCAGTTGTGTCTAATTGGGGTTGGAACTTAACTCTGCAGGACCAAGTTTGGGCACCCCTGGTTTAAGATGTTGGCTCGACGTTGGATTTTGGTCACTTTGTACCAGAACCAAAAATCAACCAAATATCACCGCCGTTATTGGATGTAAAAAAATATTGTCCTTAGACTCTGGCGACCTAAATCTAACCTAATATTTAGCTAACAATTTTTTTTTCTTTGCCAGATGCCTGTGGACCTCACCACACTCTCTGAAATGGAGAGGAAAATCAGGATGCGGAAAAGAGAACCGAAGAAGGCAGTGAAGAAAGAATTGGAAGATTTTGATGATGATTTCAAAGCTGACGATTACAGCAAATTCTGGAAGAAGAAATGAGTGGACTGATGTGATTGATGCCTCCTTTATAATATTTATGTTGTCTTGACAAATACACTTTTGTTTTATGTCACCCTCCAATTAAAAATTCAAATATTTGTAGTGAGCATTGTATCATTATGAATTGGGACTATTTTTTGAAATTATATGCTTGTGTGTGTGTGTGTGTGTGTGTGTGTGTGAGAGAATATCAAATATAGCTGATATAATGTTACGTGGTCATTCAGGTTAACAGATATGTTTATGGACAAAATTAACACTTAATTTGATCTTTATTGAATAAAAAAAAAGAAAAGAGTTCATGCTCAATTTTATGACTTCACTATTAGTTTTAGGTTATTTTGTTGCTATTGTTGTCGTTATTTTTGTTAATGATTAAAATATCTTGTTGAATTATGGGTATATAGCATAGTGCTTGAAGTATAGTATTAACGTACATTATAAAAATGTCATTTGGATATGTGCTGTTCCTGAAACAGGCTTTTAATGTCACTATTGTTACGCTGATTGACATTTTAAATAGTCTTAAATCAAGGGTGTCCAAACTCGGTCCTGGAGGGCTGGTGTCCTGGAGAGTTTAGCTCCAACCCTAATCAAACATACCTGAACCAACTAATCAAGCTCTTACTAGGTGTACTAGTAAGTTCCCGCCAGGTGTGTTGAAGCAAGTTAGAGCTAAACTCAGCAGGACATCGGCCCTCTAGGACTGAATTTGGACACCCGTCTTAAATAGGCTGATTGACATTTTAAATAGTCTTTCAATATCACTATTGTTTCACTGATTGACATTTTAGTACCTTTTTGTAAACAATGGAAATCATACTTGTTATTATTTTGGTCAAAATTGTACAGATTTTTATTGGTTAAACTCTTGATCTTTGATTTATTTTTATTTTCTTAAAATGTTTGATATAATTACATTAGCTTACAGTGTCCTCTTGTGGTGATCATATAATGCATAACTCCTGCATTCTCAGCATTCTCTACAGCAGGCTGATTAATTATTAATGAAATCAGCACCTGCTTCAAAGTTCACACTTTCACCTCAGGCAGTGTAGAAAATGCCAGCTTCACCTGAGCCTGTGACGGCCACTCCAGAGCCCGAGGAGGTGCCAGCCAAGTTTACTTTGGAGGCTGCTGATATCGCAGTGGTTGTGGTTTACTTTGTGTTTGTATTGGCAGTTGGAATATGGGTAAGTGAATACCTGCCGTTCCTCTGTTAGTATGTACATTGATGTGAGGAACCCAGCTATGTGGAATTCATGTTGCAGAGATAAAGCAGCTGTGTGTTTGATTTGTAGTCTTCCATCAGAGCCAACCGTGGAACAGTGGGTGGATATTTCTTGGCAGGACGATCCATGACCTGGTGGCCAGTGAGTCTTTGTGTTTTTACTCCTAATGATGAAGCTAGAATGTTTCTCTTGAGCACACAAGGAAGCATTTTTAATTTTTAAAGTCCTTCTCTGGTATTACAACCAGGAAAAAAGGAAATAATGAAATCACTGTATGCTCATAGAGTGAAGAATTCAGATAAACGTGATTGTGTAAAGATTTAACCAAAAATGAAATCATATATAACAAATTATAACACAAGTAAAAGCTATTTTTACAGCTACTGACAATGTGTTTAATATTATTTTAGCATCTATGGAAAAACAATTTGTTTATTCTCTGTCATCTTCTCTGTTTTAGTAAGTTTCCAGCTTTACAATTTAAATTTGATTAATATCTGAATTTCTAAACTAAGATGCATATATAAAAGACTAAATATAACATTTGTAAAATGGTTATTTACTGGGTAATTCACGGTTTTGTTGAGGGGGTCGAAATTCCTTTTAAGTAGGGTTAAAATTTTAAATGATTTTAATGTAGACTAGATTTATTTTTTTATTGTGCCATGTACTCAGCATAGATGAGTACACCCCTTACTTTCTATAGGATTATTTTCTATAATATATTTGTGTATGTACATTAGATTAGTCAGTGCTTAACCTAAGATCACAGTGCAAAAATTAGTTTGGGAAAATATTAAATAAAATTTTAATAGACAGGAAAAGTCAAGAGAAACATAAACATAAAATTTACATTTTCTTTGCAATAAATCATTTTCAATTTCAATGTATTATCTTATTATTCCTAAAGACCACATTTTTTAATATCTTTCTATTCTTTTGACCACACTCTTATTTTAATGAATATAACTATTTAATATATATATTTTTATAATATATATATATATTATAATATATATATATATATATATATATATATATATATATATATATATATATTTGAAGTCAGGATTATTAGCCCCCCTTTGATTTTTTTTATTTCCCAAGTTTTATATATATATATATATATATATATATATATATATATATATATATATATATATATATATATATATATATATATATATATATATATATATATATATATAAAATTTTCCATTTTTTACACTCAAATTTTATTATTTATTAAAAAAATTATATATATATAATAGAATATTAAGGGATATATATATATATATTTAGGGATATATTTGTCTCTTTTTAATCTTTTCTTCATTTTATTTCATTATTAGTTTAGTTTTTGTAGTTTTAGAACATAATATTAAATTCAAATGAAAAAATACAGCGTTGGCTGTGTTGAGTGTAAAGGCATGTCTCCTTCAGCTTGTTTGATCATATTGTCCTGTAGTTCTGCCAGTGTTTTCTCAGTGTATTGTTCATCCACAGATTGGAGCCTCTCTGATGTCCAGTAACGTCGGCAGTGGCTTGTTCATCGGATTAGCTGGGACAGGAGCCGCTGGGGGACTCGCCGTCGGGGGATTTGAGTGGAATGTATGACACACAACTCAATCCTCATCCTAAAAGCTTTGTGTTGTTTCAGTAATTACTGTTTTTAAGTTGTGAATTTGTAGACTTATTAAATAACACGTTTATTGCATCACATTCTGAAACAAAACATGAAGTGTGTTACCTGTAGGCAGCGTGGGTCCTCATCGCCCTGGGCTGGATTTTTGTGCCCGTATATATTTCTGCTGGAGTGGTCACCATGCCGGAGTATCTGAGGAAGAGGTTTGGGGGTCAGCGAATCCGGATCTACATGAGTGTGCTGTCTCTCATCCTCTACATTTTAACCAAGATATCAGTAAGATCTTTGGGTAAACAGATAAAAAAAGAAGACAAACATTGGTGGTGGTTTGAGGAAATCTGAAAGTTTGAGGTAGATTTAATATAATCCTAATTTAAATATTACACCGATAGAGGGTTAAAGCTGTCAAAAGTAAACCAACATAAAACAATACCTGTCTAATTACTAGTACTTTAAAAAGAGAGTTTACCCCAAAATGAAAATTCTTTAATCATTTATTCACCTTTTACTTGTATCAAACTTTTATGAGTTCTCCTGTTGAACAGACAAAAAATTATATTTAAAAAAAAATGTGGAAACCTGTAACCACTGACTTCAATACTATTTGGTTTTTATTCTGTGGATGCCAGTGGTTACAGGTTTCCAACATTTTTCAAAATATCTTCTTTTGTGCTCAACCCAAAAGAACCACTTGAGAGAGTAAATAGTGAGTTTTTAGATGAACTATCCCAATAAGATTTGTTCATGTTTTGAAATTATTTCCAATGATACTGCATAATGGTAACACTGTGAAATTCATATTAAATGTAAATGAAAGGTTTTCAGTTGTGACTATAGATTTTTTAAATGTAATTTATTCCTGTGCTTCAGATTTTCATTAATAATTACTCCAGTCTTCTATTGTCAATAAATGTAGTTTTAAACTCACCGGGATAAATTACTGTTTGTTATATATTTAAGAAATATCTACAGTTGAAGTCAGAATTATTAAACCCCCTGTTTATTTTTTCCGCAATTTCTGTTTAACAGAGATATTTTTTTTCAACACATTTCTAAACATTATAGTTTTAATAACTCATTTCTAATAACTGATTTATTTTCTCTTTGCCTTGATGATAGTAAATAATATTTGACTAGAAATTTTTCAAGACACTTCTATACAGCTTAAAGTGCCATTTAAAGGCTTAACTGGGTTAATTAGGTTCACTAGGTAGGTCAGGGTAATTAGGCAAGTTATTGTATAACGATGATTTCTGTAGACTATCAAAAAAAAAAATCAAGTTTAAAGGAGCTAACAATTTCAACCTTAAAATTGTTAGTAAAAAAATTAATAACTGTATTTATTCTAGCCAAAATAAAACAAATAAGACTTTCTTCACAACAAAAAATAATATCAGACATTTTGTGAACATTTCCCTGCTCTGTTAAACATCATTTGGGAAATATTTAAAACAAGAAAAAAAGAAATTAAATTAAAGGGTGGCTTATAAATCTGACTTCAACTATTGAATTTAAGAATTAGTATTCAATGTGTAATTTTATAAGCAATTGTTTATATATGTATTTTTTCATTAAATATGTATATTTAATATACATATTGGTTAAAAAAATCTAACAAACTTAAAAATTAACCTCTACATATTCATAGAGTTTTTAAATTATATATTATCTCAGTATAATAGTAAAAATTACTTTACTACTATGGAAAATAAGTGTTGAACACGTGACCATTTTTCTCAGAAAACATATTTTTAAAGGTGTTGTTGACTTAAAATTTTTCCCGGATGTTGATGACAACCAAATAAATCCATATACTGTATGTGAAGAAAACTAATTAAATTACAAATTAAGCTATGCATAATAAAATAAAATGACACAGGGAAAAAGTATTGAACACAGGAAGAAAGGGAAGTGTAGAAAGGCAGTGAAAGCCCAGACAGCAGCTGAAATATCTCAGTAGTTATTCAGCAACCCTCTGCCCTTCATCATTGTAATTTAATATTCGCTGCTTCAGTCCAACATCTACATTAGCTGGATGATGAAGATGAAATTAGGGAGGAAATTTCAGCAAGATCCAAAACACAGCCAAGGAAACTATCAAATGGTTTCAAAGAAAGAAAATGAAGCTGTAGAATGGCCCAGCCAATCACCTGACTTGAATACAAAGAAAAATACTAAACAGAGATCAGATTTAATAGACGAGACCCACAGAACCATCAAGATTTTTACACTATTTTGAAGTCAGACCTGAGCAGTGCGTGTGACTTCATTCTCTATACGAGAGAGCTGCCATCACCAAAAAAACCTTTTATATAAAGTATTAATTACATTTCAGTAGTTCAGCACGTTCTCCTTGTGTCATTTCATTGTTATATGACTAACGTTTCAGATTTGTTTTGTTTTATTTTTATGTTTGTATTGTTTGGGTTTTTACCAAAATCTGGTTCAATTCCATGTCTACAGCTCCATTAGAAATATTATTCCCAGGAAAACACATGACGTGTTCAATACTTATTATCCACACTATACACTATATATATATATATATATATATATATATATATATATATATATATATATATATATATATATATATATATATACACATATACATACACATATGTATTTGTGTGTATGTGTGAAAAGAATGTTAGAACAATCACAGAGACCAACAAATAGCATTTCCATAATTTCATACAAACACCTCTGTAGCTATATATGCACAATACAATACTCCCCATAATCATAACTGCTGTTTTCTTTCCCAGACAGACATTTTTTCAGGGGCTTTATTCATTCAGGTGTCACTGGGGTGGGATCTTTATCTCTCCACTGTTATTCTGCTGGCCGTCACTGCACTCTATACTATAGCTGGTAGTACAACATCAGAGAAACTGCTAATATTTTTATTTGTGTTTGTAAATGAAATACCGCAACTGGTGGCTTATTTTGACGCAGGTGGACTGACAGCAGTGATCTACACTGACGCCTTGCAGACCGTCATCATGGTAATAGGAGCATTTGTCCTCATGTTCATAGGTATTCATCCACTCTTCATGGAAACTGACGCTTGAGTTATTCTTGAGAAATTACTGTGACTGTTTTAACTGATTTCCCCTGGCAGCATTTGACAAGGTTGGATGGTACGAGGGTTTGCTGGTTCAGTATGAGAAAGCTGCACCTGCTCTCACAGTTCCCAACACCACTTGTCATCTTCCTCGCTCTGATGCCTTTCATATCTTCAGAGACCCAGTGACGGGAGATATTCCCTGGCCCGGCCTGATCTTCGGCCTTACCGTTCTGGCCACATGGGTCTGGTGCACAGACCAGGTGAATTTAAAATGATGTACATTTCAGCAGATTTAAAGTCATCATTAATTCAAAACTGATCATTTGTACTTTTGGCCTCATTGCACTATTTCTTATCAAATATCTTTTTTTTTTAGTTTAAACTAATGTCACCTCTCTTTTATATCTGTTCTTTTCTCCATCCTGTTCAACTGTTCATTCCTAAAATAAAATTACCATCCACTTTTTCTAACAATAACTTATAAACATGAAAGACAGAGCTGAATATATATGCTTTTGTTAAAGCTGAGTTGAACTTAATTTAAAAACAATTTACACAGAAATCTACGTTAAACATGATGCTGTGCAAAAATTCCACCAATGAGGGATTGATGACGGAAGTGCACCAAAACAAACTTTAACCTCTGCCCACTTGAATAGTAAAGAATGTAATTGGGCCTCAAACACCCTCAATATACTAAAATATTTCTATACATTGCAACTGCAATTGCAACTGTTGCAATATTTCCCATCATTTTTTTTTTAATTGCATCTTTTGCTGTAGTTCTTTTTCTCATTTCATTTTTTCAGTCAGGTCTTGCAACTTCGTCTTTCTGTCTTATACTATTTTATATATGTCTTTGCTTCAAATCAAAGTTTGTTGTGATTTACCTTCTAACTTGATTATTTATAACTCTTAAAGTTGGCATGGAATCAAAATTTACATGTGTTATTTTTACACTGCCTAACAAAAATCTTGTCGACGATCCCAGTTGTAAGAGTAAAAAAATAATAACTTGACTTCGAGTTGATCATTTGGAAAAGTGGCAGAAGGTAGATTTTCTGATGAATCATCTGTCGAACTGCAATCCAATCATCACAAATACTGCAGAAAACCTATTGAAAACCACATGGACCCAAGATTCTCGCAGAAATCAGTCAAGTTTGATGAAAGAAAAATCATGGGGTTACATTTAATATGGGGGCATGCGAGAGATCTGAAGAGTGAGGTACCAAGACATTTGTGCTGTCCATTAAATTACAAACCACAGAAGAAGGCAAATTCTTTGGCAGGATAGCTCCTTCTCATATTTCAGCTGCCACATCAAAGTTCCTAAAGGAATGAAGGTCAAGGTGCTCTAGGATTGGCCATCCTGGTCACCAGACATATGAACATTATTAAGCATGTCTGGGGTAAGATGAAGGACAAGGCATTGAAGATGAATCCAAGGAATCTTGATGAACTCTGGGAGTCCTGCAAGAACGCTTTCTTTGTCATTTCAGATGACTATTAATAAGTTATTTGAGTCATTGCAGAGATGTATGGATGCAGTCCTCCAAGCTCATGGGAGTCATACACAATATTCATTCTTTTTCCACTGCAGCATGACTTTATATTCTATACTGTACAATATTGCTGTAAAGTGACAAGACATTTGTCTAAGCAAAGTCAGACCTTACTGTCCTAAATGAATAATTAGAAATCAAGGCATGATCATATTTTATTTTGGTAAAATAGGCGTAATCCAGAGGCCTTTGCCTTACATATAAGCCACTTCTGATACCAAATGATCAACTAGAAGTCAAGTTATTATTTGTTGTTTCTAAAACTTGGATAGGCGACAGGACTTTTGTCAGGTAGTGTATAGAGTAGTGCTTGTTATAAACCAGGGGTGCCCAAACCTTTTCATATGAAGGGCCAAAAATCAAATCTGATTCATTTACTTGATTTATTTTCCATTAGCATTTTGAAACTTTGAAACAACAATCTCTAAACCGTTTCCATTATTTTCCCTCTCTTGTCAGATAGGATGGTGGGCCAGTAGGTTACCATGGGCCCTAGTTTGGGCATCTCTGTTATAAAGGATTTATCTGTAGACTACATTAGTTAAAAAAAAAAATTGCCCTCATAACCTTGAATCATTATTATCCTTGAAACAACTTTTCTTGATGCTTTTAGGGTGGGGCTATCAGTCCTTTAAGGTGTGGCAATCAGTGCTTGTCTTGTTTCTTCCCTGCCTTCACTGGAGGCAACAACAAATATACTATTCCATCTGCATAATTTAGCTCCTGGTTCTCATCATTATCAGCCATCTGAAAATATTCTGCACCAGAGGGTGATATAATCCTCCACACCTGTGCAAACTGACTTCAAATCAACCTCTATTTTATTAGCAATGGCCATCTTCCAGTGATCCATCTTTGTCGGTCACAAAGGACTAAATCATGTCTACATTTTTTGACTTACAATTTTTTCTGATTTCAGAAGGTACCTCACAGTTTCAGATTCATGCTGACTTTAAGTGAAACTTACAAATAAATGGTATTTTCTGGAGCCAACATTGTGAAAATGTGGGCACTAATGTGCACTGTATAACAAAATAATCCCATCAATTTCTGATATTTTTCCTTGTTTGAGAAACTGTTTCACTTTTGGAAGCGATATTACAGTTTCAAAAAGTTTATTTCATGCCAATTTTAACAATATAAATAAGTCTTTAAACTTACAAATAATTGTGTCATGTTTGAAGGTGATAGTGCAAAGGTCTCTGTCGGCAAAAAACCTGTCTCATGCCAAAGCTGGTTCAGTGCTCGGTGGCTACCTCAAGGTCTTCCCTATGTTCTTCGTAGTCATGCCAGGAATGATCAGCAGAGCTCTCTATCCTGGTATAATTCATCTTACTTCACATAGTCTGGATTTTAAAAAGATGTTACCTTACTATTTAGGTCACTATGTCACATCTTTCTAAAAAAAATAAAAGTGTGATGGTTTGTGTATTTTCCAGATGAAGTAGCATGTGTTGATCCCGATGAGTGTCAGAAGATCTGTGGGGCCAAGGTCGGCTGCTCGAACATTGCCTACCCAAAATTAGTGGTGGAGCTCATGCCAGTGGGTATGACAACCCTAGTTTTATCAGAATAATTATGTGCAGTTTTTCAAAAAGTTTATGTATATACAGTATATATATATATATATATATATATATATATATATATATATATATATATATATATATATATATATATATATATAAATACAATGTTTAATTGGAAATAAATGTCATAATTATATTTAATTAAATAGTATTAAATATATTATTAGTACTAGTAGTGTTATTATAAGTATTATGTTATATATCGAGACTTCTATACTGTAGTTACTTTTACCTATTTTGAAGGTTAAGTTCTTGCTACTTCTTTTGCCAGACTTACTTTAAATGTTCATCTTCTGTTTGCATTCGTTCAACTTATTTCTTATAAACAATTCATGCAGAAAACTTGCATTGCTATGCAATTGCCACAAATATTCCACCAGAGAATAATGTAATGACATTTTAGCCAAGCCCACTCCCCTACATGTCTCTCTCTCTTTCTGTATATATATACCTACTTTAGTTGTTTTCCCTTTTGAAAAGAAAGTTCTTATTACTTTCTTTTGCCAGCTTTAACTTTTGACTTTCAAAAAGATTTTATTAGCCTAAATTAAATATATTTCTTAAATAAATTATAAATAATTATTAATTTACCGGTTCAAATGATATACACTTTTACCATGATTTCTAGAAAATATATGGTGTAATGGTGACATACGGTTATAGAAGACAAATGTCATATGGTGTAACAATATTTTCTATACCAAAAAAAAAAAATTAATAATCATTTTATTTGATTACATATTAAAACGTAATTATTTACTCTATTAAAATCTTTATACTTTGTCACTATCAATGCCTGAAAAAGTTACTTCAAAATTTGATAACTTTGCCTTTTCTTTTATATATTTAAGAAGTACAGGCCAGAATAAGATTGTTTTTGCAATATTAAAACATCTATTACAGTAAATGATGACAGTACATTGTTTCATTATAATTTTCAGAAATTTCATTTGGAACATTAAAGTAGACACGACTTTGCTACTTGTATCTCTTCTTCTATAAATCTATTCTCACTTTCACTCTTTAACTTTTGTAGGTATGAGAGGGCTGATGATCGCTGTAATGATGGCAGCACTCATGTCCTCTCTCACCTCTATATTCAACAGCAGCAGCACCTTATTCACTATGGACATCTGGCAGCGGATCCGGCCCCGGGCCTCTGAGAAAGAGCTCATGGTAGTGGGCAGGTATACTGTGTCAATACTTCATTTCAAAATCATGTCCTGTCAAAAAGCACCAAAAAAAAAACTAGTTTGACAAAAGTGCAAGCTAGGGGGAGGGGGCTGGGGGTGAAAATGCACAGTGAGTATGTCAGAGCTGATAATAATTAATTTTAATAAATGTTATTCATGAATTAAAATATTTTTTAAAAATCTAAATTAAATATCTTTAAATATTTATATATATATATTTTAACTTAACAGACTGAATTTGCTTTTTTAAATGCTGTGCTTTATTTCTTATTTTTTTTTTTTTTACGTCTACAGAGTGTTTATTTTATTGCTAGTGGCCTTGAGCATTGTGTGGATTCCAGTCATTCAAACGGCTAATAGTGGACAGCTGTTTGACTACATTCAGGCTATAACTAGCTTCCTGTCACCTCCCATCACCACAGTGTTCATTATGGCCATATTTTGGGGGAGAGTAAATGAACAGGTGATTTAATATCCTTAATGTGAAAGGCTTTTACGTGAGAAAATTGTAAAACATTCAAGTGAAGTTCCTTCCTTTTTGTCTTTTGAACTGCATAGGGAGCTTTTTGGGGTCTGATGGTGGGACTAGTGGTGGGCATGGTGAGGATGATAATGGAATTTGTCTATGGCACACCATCATGTGGAGAGACAGACCTGCGTCCCAGCCTGCTGAAGGATGTGCACTACCTGTATTTTGCGCTTATTCTGCTCGCCCTGACAGTTCTGATCATCACAGCCGTCAGCCTCTGCACTGCACCTATTCCAGAAAAACACGTAAATATCAACCGCAAACTAGAAACACATACATGTTTACTTTTTTTTAAACATTTTTGCTTTTGACACTTTTTCAATGACTTGGTTTATATTTAGTGTTCCTATTATGCTGTTTCATATTTCACACATTATGTAGGGTGTACTACAGTTGTGTGTGAATGTAAAAGTTCTGCAACGTTTCAAAGTCATATCCTATTATCATTTGCTGGGTTCACTCCAAATGTGAATTGAAGTATTAGTAGATAACATTCAAAGTCAATGCAATGAGCGACTAGAGGCAAATTTCCACCAGGGGGGGCGCAATTCACCTCTATTGTGTATTTTGTTCAAGTTTAAAAAAATTAAACTTCGGTAGAAAAACATTCAGTGAGTAATCTAGAGCTAGTGACGCGATGCTTCTCCTTTAGTGTGAACCCAGCATCAGTCGCTCACACTCTCCTGTGATCTTGTTTTGCTCTTCTTCAGTCTCTTCCACAATTCAGTGACTGGATTCTTAACCAGAGCTTTGTTTCCAAGGATTTTCAATCAGGTTTAGGTCAGTACTCTGGACTGGCTATTTCGTTATTTCAGTGTTTTCAACTTCAATTAACTGCTTGACTTATTTTATAGTTCCTGCATGAGCAATTCACTTTGGTAGAAAATTAGTGTGAGATGAAAAACATTCAGTAAGTAATATAGCGATAGTGACGCAATGCTTCTTTTCTGGTGTGAGCCCAACGTCAGTCGCTCACACTCTCCTGTGATCTTGATATGCTCTTCTTCAGTCTTTTCCACAATTCAGTGACTGGTTTCTTAACCAGAACTTTAGCCCCGTTTCACTGTCAGGTCTTGATGCCTAATTCCGATTTGTTGCCTATATATGATTTTTTTCGTCTGTCCATTTACACGTTCTTTTAATTGTGACCCATATCCAATTCATGTGTTAACACTTGCCACGATGAAAGAAGATGTCTTGTTTTTAGCTCTGCGAAATATGCAAAGTGTAGTATTAGCAGTGAATGATTCAGTCCTGATTTACCCCCACACAGTTTATGTAATGCTATGGCCCTGATGTGTGTGTGTAGTTGTAGATGTAGCCTTTGTCTGTGTGCGCACTGGTGTTGGAGAGAATAAAGTTGTTTTATGTGTAGCCCGCAGTGCGTGTATTAATAGTGACAAAAAGCAAAAGTTACAACACGAAGCTTGCCCAACTTAAAAATGATTTTGAGGTGGAGGAGGTGGGAAAGGGCCGTAATCGCAGCTTGCGCCTATGGTTTATATGCTGAATGATGTCTTCCACCATTCTGAGGAATTTGTGGGTACGAGAGAGATCTCAGGTCTGGTGGGAGCAAATTGTGGCGACTGACCACTTTCTTCCTCCATGTTTCCTCTGTTGTTGTTGTTGTTGTTTACCGCGTCGGCATCACCACACACGCTTTTGCTTCTACGTCATTAAACCACGGAGAAGCACCACATTGTTGCGAGTTTAATGATGTACAGAACGAAATGCCTCAATAAATCGGATCTGCCTGTTTAAATGACAGTCGCATTGTCACATATCCGATTTATATCCGATTTATTTCCACATATGAAGGAGGCCTGATACCGATCTCTGAATATCCGAATGCATGCGTTTTTTTTTTGTGTTTACACGGTCATAGAACAGATCTGATCAGTGTCACATATGAGCAAAATTTATTTTAGTTTATTGACACATTCCTGCCAATAGACAACAACAGTGTAGGCGAAATCTAATGTAAATATCTATGTGAGAGTCTTAGCATTATCCTCTCATGCATTAGTCTTTTGTGGACCACCAGCCATTTTGGGGGACTTGAATGAGATGCTTTGGCCTAAAGAGTAATTCCTTTGAAATTCTTTGACAGCAAGTTTTCTAGAAATGGCCAATCACTTTAGAAAGGGTTAAAATATTGCAAACTCTATGAAAACTAAAAGGTTAGGCTATTAGTTAAATTGGGCTTCTAAGAAAATTGAGAATTTCCACCAGATTAACACCAATATCTGTGAAAATACTGAATGCGTTCTCTAATTTTAAACAGTGTTATTTTTCAAATACATAATTAAAGTCCCCGTGAGGAAGTTATCTTTTAGTATGTTGATGTACTTCCAACTGAAACTGTATATTGAGTAGGATACAAAAGAAAGCCCTCCCTTCTTTTTGTGCATCATTCCCTCATAACAGGAAGAGGACCAATGTAAGAATATTGTTTCCGAAGCATCAAATTGACATCAACAGTGAAGGTTTCCCACTCCAAATACAGAAGCAAATAGTCAGACTTTGAAGATTCCAAAAATATTTTTTTTTGTGGACTAACTTGCATGGATTAATTGTTCACCTACAGAATAACAATATGCGCTAGCAAAATAAACACTATAAATTTCTATTTCACATGGACTTTGTTTTTTATTACTGTGCTTCGGAATAAACAGTTGAAACCAGATGTTTCCATACACTCTAGAAAAAAGCACATAACCATTTTTTTAAATGTGTGATGGTAAATCATACTAAATGTTTACTATTTTAGGTCTGTTAGGATTACCTAAATTATTTACATTTGCTAAATGCCAGAATAATGAGAGAATTTTGTTTTGAGATTTTTTTTTTTATTAATTTCTAGACATTCAAAGGTTTACATACATTTCCTTGGTATTTTTTTAGCTTTGCTTTTAAACTGCATAACTTTGGTCAAATGTTTTGGGTATCCTCCCACAAGCTTCTCACAATAGTTTGAAGGAATTTTGGCCCATTCTTCCGGACAGAATTGGTGTAAATTGAATTTTGGCCCATTCTTCCGGACAGAATTGGTGTAACTGAGTCAGACTTGTAGAATGTCTTGCTCGCACAAGCATTTTCAACTCTGCCCACAAATTTTCTAAAGGATTGAGATCAGGGCTTTGTGATGGCCACTACAAAACATTCACTCTGTTGTCCTAAAGCACATTTTAACTAATTTGGCAATAAGCTTAGGGTCATGGTCTGTTTGGAAGACCCATTTGTGGCCTGGTTTTAATTTCCTACTTGATGTCTTAAGATGTTGCTTCAGTATTTCTACATAATGTTCTTTCTTCATGATGCCATCTATGTTGTGAAGTGGACCAGTCCCTCCTGCAGCAAAACAGCCCCACAACATAAAGCTGCCACCCTCATACTTCACAGATGGGATGGTGTTCCTAGGCTTGTAAGCTTTCCCCTTTGTCCTCCAAATGTAACACTGTTTTTTATGGCCAAACAGTTCAATCTTCGTTCCATCAGAGAAAAATTGGTCTTTTTCCCAGTGTAATTTAGCAAATTGTAATCTGTCTTTTTTTGTTGATTCTGCCTTGTTGATTTTCCCATATTGTCACACAAGTAAGCCATGTGTTTGAGGTTTTTCTTTAATAATATTCTACACTCAAATGGTGCCAATTCGCCAATCAGAACGTTCTAGAACCTTGACACCATCATCTGAGCTTTTTCAGAGGCATAATAATCTTATTGTATATAAACTTGACTTACAATTAATAAAAAAAAGTTATAACAATTTCTCAAAAAATATCTCTCATTATTCTGCTAATAAGCATAACAGAAACAAATATGAAAATCCCAACTTACCTAAAAGAGAAAAGGTTTAGTCACATTAACATCTGACTTTTTTAAAGTGGTAATGTGTCTTTTTATACATTTAGTATCTTTTTATACTTTGTGTGTAAACTTCTGGTTTCAACTGTATATAAAAGTTATGGAATATATTTTAAAATGGTTTTTATTCCTGTTTAGAAACAAATGGGGCTGAGAAGTTTAGCAGAACTTGAGCTAAAATAACACTTGTATTTGATTTCAGCTTGTTCGTTTGACCTGGTGGACAAGACACAGTAAGGAGGAGCGTGTAGAGCTGGAAGACCCCTGGGCCAAACCAGCAGGCTCTGATCTCAGCACAACGGAGTCAGAGGGGTCGGATGAGGACGCGCCTGCATGGTGGAAACGTGCTGGAATGTGGCTGTGTGGACTCTCCCAAACGACTAAACAAGACCTGACTGAGGAGGAACGGCAGGCACTGGAAAAGAAACTCACTAGTATTGAAGAAGACCACATGTGGAAGACTGTGTGCAACGTCAATGCCCTCATTTTGCTCACTGCCAATGTGTTTCTTTGGGGGTACTTTGCTTGAATGTACTGTAAAGTTCTATAATGGCTAATTGTTTTGTTAGAAACTAATAGTTTAAGTGTTGACGTTGGCACTTTGAACACTCATTTTTATTTAAAATGTTTTGAATAACATTTTATTTGAAGTTTGTTGCAAACAATATTAAATAATTACTGCTGTGCCATAATGACAAAGCCATGAATGAATGCATAAATAAATAAATAATAAATATATAAAATTATATCTTGCTCAGTATTTTGTTATTAAGTACAGTAACATCCCTAAATTTACTTATCCCTAATTTATCCTTAATTTACACATTTACTTAAGATGTAAAACAATGAACCTTTGATTATAAATACTTAATAAAATCTTTAAAATGTATGCATTTATTATTTGAACTAATTCCTGAATCAATCAAACAACATTTTGGATTCCTCTGATTTACTTCTAGTTTCTGTAGATACCAAAAAAGCTGTGTTATCATTACTTTAGAGGAAATATCTCGGGCTGCATGGGGTCCCTTTGAATATTGTGTTGGACAACGGGGGGCATATTAGCCATAAAGCATGAAAAGAGATCTCTTCCATTCCACTTGGTGGTGATCCTGGCCAGGCTTTACAGCAAAACCCTTTCATATACTCATTGTGGGCGGGAATCTCTCTGCACTAACCTCCTCTCTACTTGAATGAACTATAAGTGCAAAGTCATACTACACTGTTTAGTGTATCCGAGAGACGGAGAAACACTGTACCTGAGGGCATTTCACGGTTAATAGATACATACATACAAGATTTACTCCCGGCCACCGAGCAATGGAGCATCACGTAAACGCGAAACGGCTTTTCAGTCATGCGACAACGCTGAAGCTTCACACGGGGAATTTAGTGAACCGCAGTCGGCTTAAGAAGAAATGTCCGTCTTCGCCCAGTGAGGAGGTGGGTGACATGGGTTTGCGGTGCTCATAGTTATTTATGGTCAACCTAGGCAGCAGGGGGCTGTCATATTTTGTTGCGTGATGTTGTATTGTATGTGTTTATCTCTATGGTTTATCTACGGTCGACTCATTATTTATGTTTATAAGGTCGTCATTGGTATTCCGATTCTTTTTTCCGCGCATCGGCTCATTTGAGCAGTTCATTTGACTGACTCGGTTCAGAGAGTCGCTGTTGTAGTGTTGCTAGACATCCTTTCACAGCATTTACCTAGACATTTGATTTTTCGTGAATGATGTGGAATTTATGGTTTCATATTTTGGTTTTCGACGAATATGTCCAATTATTGAGTGTACTAATGTGTAATTCGATTGTGCTATTTTGTAATTGGATTGATGATACAACGTTAAAATTTCTCTTTAGGTGAATATATGGCGTTTTTATTTTATTATAAATGTCATATGGGTTTTTTTGTCACTGAAAGTAAGTTTCACATAATAATATACCTTAACTTTTCCAAGAATATTCAACAATGTTGTTTAAGGTTTTCTATATGGCACTTACTATATAATCTTAAACTTTGCTAGTCGATTCGATCAAATCATTTAAAGAGCCAACTCACAAGAATGATTCCTGAGCGACATGAATGAACCGGCTAATGACGTCAGGGACTAGTTTGCCTCGTGCGGCTCATGACATGCCGCTGTAGGCAAAATGTGGTAGTGGTTTGTGACTTTACTTTGCATTGTTTTGTTGCTGTATATATATTCAAATCACTGTAAATGTGCAGCATTCTTGGCTGTAAAAGCAACTTTTGGCGTAGTAATACAGTACAGTAAACAGTGTGACCTAACATGACCCAACTGGACTGAAGGGTGTTGCAACGTCATGCTGATGTAGTTTTTCTGCATAATGTCTTGTAATCTCAACGGATGATTGACAATGAGTGTATGTCATGGGCAAAATGTTATATTAATTATAAAAATTAGTCCGCTTATACAAGCTCATGCAATTAGATTCATACCTAGTGTCTAATTTTGATTATTATAACTAAATTGTGCTTATTATGGTAGTTAAATTTTTAATAATATCACAACACTTTTTGTGTTTATGGAGCAAGAAGTGATTTTCTAGCATCAAGACAGTAATTTAATAATAAAAAAATATATAGATTAAAATAAAAAAGTTTTTGATCACTTAAGTACACGTCAAAATAATATTTTAAGTGTTTATATTTTTAGAGAAATTTATCTGTTACACTAAATGCATATTTTTAAATTGATTTATTTGATGAATTTATTTGATATTTAATATTTAATTCAGTACATTCAAATGTACTTTTTAGTTGTTAATTATATATTTCAATGTTAAATATATTTATTTTAATTATGCGTTGCATTACATACTAATAATTATGATTACAATTATAATTAAAATATTATAACACTTAAATATGAATACAAGTTAGCTTTATGCTGTTGTTCTAAATTATCTTTAGCAACACAAGTAGATAAATATGAAAGCAAAAGAGACTCCAATGCCATTTTCATCACAGAATGTTTTTAAATGCAATAAATAACGAGCAAAATGTATGCTATATATTTTAGAAAACATCAAGCAAACACCCAATTTTAATTATCACATAACTTAGTTGTGTAATGGTAAATATCTTCTCTCAGATATTAAGAAATAAACTGCAAAGCAAAGAAGCCGTTACGCTGTCATTTATGATCCATTAAAGTGTGTGCTGTTAGTTAACATGTTTTTGTTTCTGTTTTCTGACTCCACAGCTTCAAGACTGCATTCAAGGCACATTGAGCGAGTGGTTCACCGCAATGCCGTCATCCCTTGACTCTGTAAGTCCTTCCATAACAGTCATAATACAAAACTGAAACCTTGAGAACTTGTAAACAAGCTATTTCAAACTAAACATGTCATGTTTGATGTACTCCAGATTTCAGTCACATTGCCAAAACGCTCAACATAAACAGTTGAGCTCTGTGTGGATTGTGGGAAAGTCTGTTTCACAGAATTAAAGCATATAGTTGAAGTCAGAATTATTAGCCCTCCTGAATTATAAGCCCCTCTGTTTATTTTTTTCTCCAGTTTTCTGAGAGAAGATTTTTTTTCAACACATTTATAAACTTAATAAGTTTAATAACTATTTTGTAATAACTGATTTATTTTCTCTTTGCCATGATGACAATAAATAATATTTGACTAGATATTTTTCAAGACACTTCTATAAAAAAGGGACATTTAAAGGCTTAACTAGGTTAATTAGGTCCACTAGGCAGGTTAGGGTAATTAGGCAAATTATTGTATAACGATGGTTTGTTCTGTAGACTATGGAACAAAGAATTAGTCTAAAGGGGCTAATTATTTTGACCTTAAAATGGTGTTTAAAAAATTAAAAACTGCTTTAAATTAAAACAAATAAGACTTTGTTCTGATGAAAAAATATTATCAGACATACTGTGAAAATTTCTTTGCTCTGTTAACTGTTACCTCATTTGGGAAAATATTCAAAGGGGGGCTAATAATTCTGATTTCAACTGTATATACAGTTGAAGTCAGAATTATTAGCCCCCCTGAATTATTAGCCCCACAGAATGTTTTTTTTTTCAACACATTATAATAACTGTTTTTTAATATATTTGCCATGATGACAGAAAATAGTATTTTACTAGATATTTTTCAAGATACTAGTATTCAGCTAAAAGTGACATTTAAAGGTTTAACAAGGTTAATTAGATAAGTTTGGGTAATTAGGCAAATCATATATATTTTATATGCATAAATATGACTTTGGCATGCTAAAATTACTTGACTTAAAATTACTTGACAAGGTCCACATACCTCAATAGTTTCCCTTTTTTGTCTATGTACTTGCTTATATATATATATATATATATATATATATATATTCAGCATGTGGAAAAGACGGTTGTTATGCTGATGGTTCATGGCATGGGGCTGCCTGTTCCGCCATGGTCAGCAGATTTGCTGCCTCAGATCAGTGAGTAGAGAGTAAAGGTCTTAGCACACAAAAGCTGAAGGCTTATTGAGGCATTCCTTTCATGCAGACCATTAACAAGGTGTCTAATGTTCTCACATGCAACTTCGTAGACTTTGTAGAGTGCCAAAAAATTACGCAATTATAATGCATAATCCAGTAAGCGACTGGATATTTTCCGTGATGGCTTGCTTGTGCAATTTCCACCATTTTGTAAGATTTTCTCTTTTTTTTTTTTGTTCTTCAGGAGCTTCCCAGTGTTTTGGACTGCAGCATTCCTGAAAACACAGAGGCCATCACTCCAGAGGAGAGAGAGGAGCTGAAGGTGTCCGGTGAGGATTTACTCCTCCAATATGACTGTTGCAATATGTGTATGTATGTGTGTGTTAATAAATATGCTGAATGTCTTTACAGTAAAGCTTTTTCTCACTGAGTGGGACTGCTCATCCATCAGAAGTGCGGTAGACATGGGTAAGTTCTGCTCAATGTGATGTGGTAAATGGATATATTATTGATGTGTGGTATTTGGTAAAGCTGATTATGGCTATTTTTAAAGGCTGAATTTCTAACTCAAACTATATAAATAACACTAAAGGTCTTTGCACACTGTAGTCCGGAACTTACATATGCGTTTTTCTTTTCTTATTTATATCCGAAAATGTGGTCATTTACACAAATCTTGCAAACTGAGTCTGATTCATATTAATTAATCCATTCTGAAAAAACACAGAACATTTCAGAGTCATTTCAAGCAGTGATGCTTCTCCAAAAAAGAAAAAGAAAGAGCAATATGCTGCATATTGTGTTCATCCAATTCTAGAAGGAGAATTCAGCTAGTTATCATAATCAAAACATGCACTTAAACTAGGAATAGTTCACCCAACAAAATCAGGGTGTCCGCGGGGTCCATTAAATCAGAAATATAATATAGTCTAAATGTTTCCAAAAATTCTAATCCTATTTCAATTGCAATTTTTGTAACATTCATGAAAAACAGGAAGTCAGTATATTCAGTTGAAGTCAGAATTATTAGCCCCCCTTTGATATTTTTTTTCTTTCTTTTTAAAATATTTCCCAAATTATGTTTGACAGGGCAAGGACATTTTCACAGTATGTCTGAAAATATTTTTTCTTCGGGAGAAAGTCTTCTTTGTTTTATTTTGGCTGGAATAAAAGTTTTTAATAAAAAAAAAAAAACATTTTAAAGTCAAAATTAATATCCCCTTTAGGCTATATATTTTTCAATAGTCTACAGAACAAACCATCTTTATACAATAACTTGCCTAATTACCCTAACCTGCCTAGTTAACCTAATAAACCTAGTTAAACCGTCTTAAAAATATCTATTCAAATATTATTTAGTGTCACCATGGCAAAGATAAAATAAATCTTAGAAAATAAAATTAGAAATGAGTTATTAAAACTATTATGTTTAGAAATGTGTTGAAAAAATCTGCTCTCCATTAAACAGAAATTGGGAAAAAATAAACAGGTGGGTTAATAATTCTGACTTTAACTGTTTGTCTGTAAGCTTTTTTGTTTACGTGCTCACCAAAACTGCATTCATTTGATCAACTAGGAAATTAAGGAACTACACAAAAAAATATCAAATTACTTTTTTAATTTATTTATGTGATTCTAATTAATGTGATATATTGTCCAGACAAATGACTTAATAATAATGTTTTTATTATCGGTATTAAAAACACTGCTTAGTAATTAAGTTGATAGTTTTATTAAATTTAATTATCTACATTTACATTTAGTCATTTAGCAGACGCTTTTATCCAAAGCGACTTACAAATGAGGACAAAGAAGCAATTTACACAACTATAAGAGCAGCAATGAATAAGTGCTGTAGGCAAGTTTCAGGTATCTTAAATAGTTTTTTTAAAAGTTTAAATAATCATGTTCCAGTCCTGTTTTCTGATCTAATCATCAGGCATCAAACCTCTTACAGAGTTACACGGGCAACTGCCAATGGTGACTATCTGTAAAGGGAGCCAAACTGTGCAATGATTCACCCGTTAGCCTAAAATCAGAAAGTAATATAAATATTTTTAGTAGTGTTCTTAAAAAGTGCTTAAAACAAAACAACAGTGTTTGCACAAATAGTTTACTGTTAGTTTGTTGGACCATGTCGCCTTTGCTTTTGCTTCTGTAATTTTATGCAGAGAATTATAATGTTGTGTGTATATATATTAATTATATTTCCATTTTGTCAGTTTTGCCAAGCCTCCTCTGGACAGGTGTTGAGAATTGTCAAGCTTGCTAAAACACTTAAACAAATGCATTTGGTTGTCCAGTCAGTGTAATTGTGACGTCCATGTCAAATAAATAAATACATACATACATACATAAATAAATAAATAATTGTTTGGTATTTTTGTTGATTTTTAAGCATCATTTTAGGATTTGTGTTTTAAAAACTTCTTAAATTATTACCTAATAAAAGAAATCATATTTTGATCCATTTAATTATTTTAAGCTAGCATTAAAATTAAAATATGTGTGTGTGTGTGTATATATATATATATATATATATATATATATATATATATATATATATATATATATATATATATATATATTAGTATATATATTAGTATAAAGTAATTAGATGAAATGTTAGTAATCTCCCGCCTCTGCTGTGTGTGTTGTTCAGCTTGCCTGTCGTTAGGTGTCTCTCAGTTGGATTCTGTGATCATCGCTCCTCCTTCTCTTCCCGAGGGTGAAAGCCAGACACTGACACACCTGCAGCCTCTCTGGCAGGAGCTGGAGAGTCTGGTGCAGAGCCAGAAGATTGCTGCCATCGGCACCTCAGACCTGGACAAAACCCTCTTGGAGCAGCTCTATAACTGGGCTCAGGTATGCTATGAGTAGGCAGCATTTTCCAGAAAAAAACAACAACAAAAAACAATCACTAGTCTTAAAAACTGACTTTTGGCTGTTATTTCATGCAGATAAAGCCAAGCAGTAATCAGGTCAATCTAGCCTCATGCTGTGTGATGCCTCCAGATCTCACTGCATTCGCTAAAGAGTTCGACATTCAGTTGCTGACACACAGTGACCCCAAAGGTGAGTGTTTTGCTAAGTCTCTGAGGTGGTTTTCCATTACACATTTATTACAAACTATGTTGATATTGTAAAACCAAACGAGATATTTTGTTAAAAGAAATATAAATTGCGAAGACATACTGTTAAAAATGCTTTATAAAAACTATTGTGTTTAGAAATGTGTTGAAAAAAAAATCTTCTCTCCATTAAACAGAAAGTGTGAAAAAAATAAAAGGTGACTTATAATTTAGGGGGGCTAAGACTTCTGATCTCAACTGTATGTAGAGTTTTATGTTATCAGATGAGCTAGCTGCAGCCTATTTACAATTCGCAATTTTCAGGATAATGGAAACGCACCTTGTCATGATGTGCATCAATCATCTTTCTCATGTAATTACACGATTGCTGATTTAATTATGCAAATCTTTTGTTTGTTTGTTTTTTGTTTGTGTTTGTCTAGAGCTCATCAGTGCAGCAGGTTTTCAGGAGGCGGTGCAGGGCAGCAGTCAGGAGCTGCAGGTGGACGACTGGAGGCTGGAGTGGGTTTTGCGCTACTCCATTATCGTCAAGAGCAGAGGCATCATAAAAGCAAAGGGCTACATTGTTCATGCTAAAAAGAGCAACAACCATTAACTGGGCTTTTCGGCTTCCTCAAATTTATTCCACCAAACTGTTGTCCTCTATTACATCATTGATGGGTGGCTTCGTCAGCACACTAAAGTGAATTTGAGTTATCCGAGGAACAAAAAAAATCACTTGATGCATTTTTCCTGATGATTTCAATTATTTAGACAGCGAGCTGTTTGTGTAGAAACATGCAAAGTGCCTGCTTTTCTGTTGTTGTTTTTTTTGTTGACTTTGCCTGGTTTAATTTGCAGTAATTATCCAATAGGTTGATGGGATAGAAAATCAGGATTTAAGAACCAAAAGGTTGTTTTTGTAATCAAATATTTTAAGTACAGGGCCTGTTTTAATGTTCCCGTGACCTTGTTTTCAGGAGAAAAAAAAAAGACATTCACACCCTTATGCCCTTATGGTTGTGTTGAAAACTTTTTTTATTTCAAGAAGTTTACCACAGAGATTTGTTTCCGAATTAGTTTTAGATTTTTTTAATCTTTTAATTTTAATGTCCTGCTGGCGTTTTTTATGTTCGTATAATTTATTTTTTGCTTTGCTTGGAATTATTTTTATTATCATTTTATCTCTTTTGCATCCCTTTGCTTTGCTTACCTGAGATAAAATAAATATTAAGGTATGTAACTGTATGCTGTTAAAATGCATGGCATAAACAGCCTTGATTCATTGTGTATATAAAAACACTGGAAACAAAAGTCCACACTTGAAGAATACCAAGGCTTATCGCTCCAGTATGGAGTGAGTAGTCAGAGTATATATTTTTACCTGTGTTATTTATTCATTGTAATGGCAATTCCTGTTGGATCCAATCCTATAAGAGAGATTGTTTCTTGTACTGTACATGTAATTACTATTTTCCCATATTGTGATGAACATTTTTAATCTGGTTTATAAACTTCGCAATTGAAAATGGATTTTTCTGTGGTAATTCTTTTTATTTTATTTTATAAATTTAACTCCCATTAAGGAATATTTCACCCCAAGATGAAAATGATGTAATTTACTCACCCTCCACTTGTATAAAATCTATTTCATTATTATTATTTTTACTTCTGTAGAACACAAGAGAAGATATTTGGAAGGATGGTGGAAACCTGTAACCATTGACTTCCATTTGTTTTTCCTAATTTGGATGTAAATGATTACAAGTTTACACCATTTTGTGTTAAACTCATAATGTTGGGAATCATTTGAGGGTGATGAATTGTTAGTAAATTTTTGGGGTGAACTATTCATTTAATAACAACACACACCCACACACACACTGAGTAGACAAAACGCCGTGAAAATAAACAGGAACCAAGCAAAAACAATGGCTCGGGTAAATATGAAAGAAAAACAATGTCTCAAGTCCTCAGGTTTCCACTTTACCCAATTAAACACCCTTACTTTTATATACAACATACATTTAAATGTACATTATAAACAACTTGTTATCAGTGGAACCAGGACGCGGATCCATATCATCATTTGCAACTCACCCAACGCTCTATTCTGCTCGCTTTCGTGCATCGATTAATCGCGTCTGTACATTCGGAGAACGTGGGTCTCGTGGGCGGAAGTGCGTCCGGAGCCATAGTGGCAACATGGTGGCCACCAGAAGAGGAACACGCGCAGGTTCCCCGGTGAAAAACACCAGCGATGAAAACTCTGAAAACGCTAAGGTCTGTTTGTCAATTATGCATTTTAATTGTTGTTTATGTTTTTATTAGCTGGAGTTCAGTGTGAGGTTGTTTTGTGGCGTTTTATGTGTATTGGTAAAAAAGCCGCATGTGTGTGTGGAAACATGTCCGAACATGTGTGGGAAAACGCGTTGAACTTCTAAATAACGATAAAAGTTAAGAGTATGTTTCTTGTTAATATTTTGTGTTTTTTTCGACTCTCGGTCAAATATAAGTCATGCACTCATATGTATGATTGCATTAATAGAGCCATATCTCGCCATATGTGATATTCCTGTAGCGTGGAGTGTTCATATTTTGTTCTGCAGTAATCACGATATCAGAGATTTTCATCAGTAATTACAGTATAAGAAAAATCTAAATTCCAACCTTTATTTGAAACTGATGTAAACGTCAAGTAATCCCAGTTCTGTTCTTTTTTTGTTTGTTTTTCTGCTCACACAATCAAGACGTTATTTATGTTTGTGATGTGATCATCACATGTTGTGATGTCTAATAAAAGGCTGTTTTAGACACTTTATAAACGGGAAGAACAAAATAAGTTGTTTTCAATAACGTTAGCCATTTCTTAAAGTAGATTTAGTGTTTACGTTTATACGTTTTTAAGCAGCAGACAAGGCAAATTGAGGTAACGCTGAAGTTGGTTTTATATTCGCATATTCGTTCAGTGACATTCTCCCTTTTTGTTTACTATGCTACTTTTTTAAACTATTATTAAGGAGAAAATCTGAATGTGTGACTCTAAAATCTAGGATGGTGTAAAAGTGTGACTACATGAGTGAGATGTTTATTTGTTCTTTTACAGCCCGAACTATAAACGCAAAGCAATAAAACAAAACAGTTTTTTTAAGAGTGCAAGACTTATATTTGACTGAGAGTCGAAAAAACAACACAAAATATTAACAAGAAACATACTCTAAGAAAATAAATAAACAAAAATTGGTTGTCTGAGCAATATGGCCGAATTTTACATTTTTGTGTTAAATTTTGGCAAAATGTATCTCTTTAAACCTGTATTTTATAAAAGTGTCATGACGAGGCGAAAATTGAAGTCTTGCAATGGTAGTTTTTATTCAAAACGGTATTTGTTGAAATAACCAAATAACTAATAATTACACCATTGTGTCTAGGGATGAGCCGGTATAAGATTTCAATGGTATGAAATACTTGTATATAAAATAGCAGTTTCACGGTATCACAGTATTGTAATTACTTTTTTAACATATGTTCTTTTTTTAAATGTCTGGGTAAATAACAACATTTATTTCCATTGAACACAATTTAGTTTGTTTTCAGAAACATTTAAAATATTTTGGAACAGTAGCTTTTCATGTGGAGGGTCCTTTTCTGCTGGAGATACTGTTTCCCTAACAAACTAAATAAAATAATCCTAAAAAACATCTACCCCCCTCCACCCCACCCCCCCCCCCCCAAAAAAAAAGAAAACAAAACAAAAAAACATACTTGTATATACTGTAGGAATGGTATAACAGCAAATGTTAGTGGTTTTAAAACCTTGACTTATCCAAACCACAGTATACCATGAAAACGGTTATCGTCCCATGCCTAATTGTGCCTGCAACAAATACTGCACTGTTGTAATCTTGGCATGCTACATCTGTTGTGAAAACATCAGTCTGGCACCCCACCTTACACCTCACTTTGGGTTCAGAGGACAAATGTAACAGTCCAGGACAGTTGTACAGTCCAGATTTCACCATTTCCACATTCGAAAAGCTCTTGGGTAAAACATTTTCCTTACATATTTTTGTTGCGTGTTAGTTGTTACTGCAATCCAAACATGTGGATCCACACGCAAAGCTGTGCTCTCATCGCAGGGAAAAGGGAAACAAAACCTTTGTTGCGGCACATTAACACTGACAACCCATGTCTCTGAATAATTCTTCTTCCACTTGTTTTAATTACGGTTGGCAACACAACGTGGCGTCTCTCTGAACAACACTGTAACAGGTTAAAAGAGTCTTCAAAGCTATATCATGCATATTAATGAAGTTGCATCTCATTCATAATAGAGCATGCTGATTGGTTCAAGCAAAGTCTTTTCCATGAATTAATGCTGAAAACTCAATGATGTCACTTTGTACCTGCCATGACAGACATCCAGTCTCTACGCTGGAATTTACACAATGACCTCATCACATTGACGTTGCTTCAAATTTTATTTTAAACCCGAAGAACGAATTTGCTTTAAACAATGCAAAAACAACCAGTTTTTACTTTTTAGCAAAATATATGTGGCCTTATAGTGTTTTTAGCAACGTGAGACACGTATACGAGTCAACAACAAAAAAAAAAAGTGTTTTGGCAATTCATGACCCTTTAACTTGCCCAGTATTGTCAGATTTTCATATTAAAGGTTAAGAAAACAAATGTTATGCTACACATTATGTACAAAAAAGGCATTTAAGTCACAAAGGTATGTAAATGAATTTAATACTAATGTAAGGCAAATGTTCTTGTTCTTACAGAAGCCTACTCCTTCGACTAGAAGAACTCGACGCAAGACACTGACGGAGGAAAATCAGTCCCAGTCGGATTCCCAGCCAGATGAGCCGAAGGATGACAGTACTGCCTCTTCCCTAGCAAGTCCACCTAAGAAAGACACTAGAAGATCCACACGTCTCACTGTTAACAAAAAGCAGCCAGACTCTACTCATGAAGCGGATGTTTCTGAATCAGAATCCTGCTGCTCTGTAGCTTCCGGTGTACAACCCACACCTAGAACCCGCCGAAGAACTGCAGTCAGAGACAAGCGCACCATTGAAGAGGAGGCATCCGAAGCTGAATCTTGCTCCTCGGCAGCATCAGCGACCCATTCCCGCACTGCCCCACGAAGCCTCAGGAAACGAGTTTTGACTTCAGCTTCCGCAAAAGATGCAGATGCCTCTGGGGCTGAGTCTTGCAGTTCTGCGGTGTCACTCACCAAAGGTACGGACACTCAACGGATGACTAGGAGTCATCAAAAAACTGCTGTTCCCACCAGAGATGCAGATCAGTCTGAACCAGAATCATGTTCCTCCAGTGTTTCTGGCCTTCGTGGATCTGTGGTGCGCAGATCTACACGAAACCAGAAGGTGACAGTGACCGAGCCGATCCCTTTGAACTTAGAAGAAACTACAGACGCCCCTTCTTCTCCAGTGTCCAGGAAGCCTAGAGGGCGTAGGCGAAAAACAGAAGGTAATGATGATGAGTCTGATGGATGCAAGTCTGGTCCCAGCATGAGTCCCTGGAGATCCCTTAGGCGCCAGCCAAAAGGTGACACCATAGTTGGTGAATCTGATTCAGAATCGGTAGCTACTGACGTCTGCACCTCTCATGGGAGTCCAAGCCCTCAAAGAGGAAGAGGAACACCTTGTAGTAGCCGAACTGGGTCTGCAAGCAGCAACCGTGCTGTTCCTGCAAGCAGGACGAGAAGTAAAGCTAAAGTGATTACTTCTGCCATGTCTGAGGAACAAAGTGAAGATGAGCAACTTGTAACTCATCATGAAGGTATTCAAGCACCTGAAGAACAACTGGATCAAACCATGACCATGGAAACCAGTGAAGCTCAAGAGAGCACCATGATTGAGGAGGGAGCTGAAGATACTACTATAGTTGAGGATGAGCCTGTTGAGATGCTAGAAGTTCAAAGCAGCTCAAAAGAAGTCAAGAAGATAGAGGATCATGGAATTATCATGAAAGAAACAGGAACTGAAACTTCATTAAAGGAAGCCGAGTTTATGGAAACACTTTCAGAGTCCGTAGTAGAAGCCACCTCAAAAGTCCCAGAGAAGGTTGACGAGGCCATTGAGGATCAAACATGTGCTGAGCCTGTAAAAGAGGATGCCATTCATGAAGATGCAGTCATGGTTGAGGATGCTTCTGAGCCTGAAAAAGCAGGATCCAACCAAAAAGATACAGAGATGATTGAAGTTCAAACATGTCCTGAACCTGCAAAAGAGGAAACAACTGAAGAAGCTTCAGTCATGGTTAAAGAGGATGCAGAGTTTCAAACATCATTAGAGCCCTCAAAAGAGGAAACCATCCAAACAAATGTAGCCCTGATTGAGGAGGCTCAAACATCAGCTGAACCAGCGGAAAAGGTAAAAGTCACTTCAGACGATCCAGAACCAGCCGTGATCGAGGAGAAGAAAGGTGTGACGGTTACAGAGGAATCAAATGAATTGATTAAGACAACTGATGATGACTCTGATGCTGGCCCTTCTACAAGCTCAAATACTCGAGTAGATTTGAGCACCGCAGAAGAATCATCCAAGGAGCACCCTGCTCAAAAAGAAATGATCAGTTTACTGGACAGCAGTGATGAAGAAGATAGTGGTGACGAAGGTCTGTCTGCAGAAGAAGAGGGCGGTTCACAGGAAGATGAAGATGATTTAATTTGTCCTGATGATGAACCGATGCCAGAAGAAGCAGAGGCTCATGGTAATGGACTGTTTGTCATAGACACTAGACCTGGGCTACGACCTGAAGACCAGTACTATGTGGATGCCAAGCAAACTGAGGAAGAGGATGAGGAGGAGGACTATGTTGACGAGGAAGGAGATGATGAGGATGATGAAGATTCAAAGGTGCTTTTTGCTCCCAAAAAGCCTCTGTAAGTTATCGCCACTATATAAATCACAATATATGAAAAAAAAAGATATTTGAAATGTGATTTTGTAAATTATGATTTGTGAGCGATGATTTAAATTTAGTATCAAAACTAATTTTTTTCTCTCCTTCTCAGGATGCAACTCTCTACTTCCATTGACACGGGTTTGAAATTGAAGGAGCTTGGTGGTTTGTACGTCAGTTTTGATGGCAACAAACCAAAGACTCTTTCCAGGGTCTTGAAGGCCCAGAAGGACGTGGGCGGTCAGGATGAGGTAAATAAGTTGCGCATTTTTCTGGATGAGACATTTGATTGTATATAATTTCAAAGAGTTTTGTGCAGCTAATAATAAATTAAAACGCTGAATGTCTTGTGCAGTTGTTAAAGAAGAGTGTTATCATTCCGGGTTTTGAGAAGATGGATGCTGTGCCACCGTGCAGGGAATCAAAGCACGCTGCTAAACTCAAACGCAAGGTGGGCCGATTTGTCTGTTTATCTTTATTTTTTTTAATGATTGTCAGTTGGACTAATTAAAGGTTACTCAAATCCTGCATTAAAAAGGTGGAGTTGAAGGCAAAATATTAGCCATCCTTTGAATTTTAAATTCTTCAAACATTTTCCTACTGCTTTTTAACAGATTATTTTTTTATGTTTGAAACATTCTTTATATATATATATATATATGTGTGTGTGTGTGTGTGTGTGTGTGTGTGTGTGTGTGTGTGTGTGTGTGTGTGTGTGTGTGTGTGTATATGTATATATATATATATATGTGTATATATATATATATATGTATATATATATATATATATGTGTATATATATATATGTGTATATACATATATATATATATAATATCCTAATAATATATAATATATAATTTTTCACAGTATGTGAAATATTTTTTCTTCTGGAGAAATTGTTTTACTTTATTTCGGTTAGAATAAAAGCAATTTGTAATTGATTTTTTAAAAACATTTTAAGGTCAAAATTATTAGCCTCTGTGAGCTATATTTTTTTCGATAGTCTACAGAACAAACCATCATTATACAATAACTTACCTAATTACCCTAAGCTGCCTAGTTAACCTAATTAACCTAGTTAAGCCTTTAAACGTCACTTTAAGCTGTATAGAAGTGTCTTGAAAAATATCTAATTAAATATTATTTACTGTCATCATGGTAAAGAGAAATTATATATTTATATAATTTGTATATATATTTTATTTATATAGCATAAATATTCTCACATTTTTGGAGAGTCAAATGCAGTAAAATATATTTTTAATTAAGTTAAACAAATATTTGTCAGTGCTCAACATCCTTTGTTTATCTGAAAAAAAAAATTCGAACATTTTTATTTATGTCAGTTGAATACTCATTACCTGTTAATTTATCAAAAAAATATATAGTGGTAAAACAGAATCTGCATTTTGCTGAATGACAAAAATGTTGCTGTAATTGTCAAAAGTGTACATTTCTGGCTGTCAACAGCTTTATTGGAAATTATCCTCAGCATCCATGTATTTTTCATATCTATTTTATTAAAAAATTTTAATATGCTTTTAAAATGAGTTTTGTCATGTTACACTGAATGACCAGGGGTGTGAACCTACACTGGTTTCACAGTTCAGTTCAGTTTCGAATATCATGCCGTTGATTATTTTATAAATATATTTATGTATTATTTGTTATACAATTTTTTCTTTTATACAAGCAGTCATAAATGTACTGTACCTTGCATTTCACCTGTACAAAGAAAACACTCTTTTTGAAAGCATCAAACAAAACTAAAGTACATGCTCAGAACAACATGAGCATTTATAGCAAATAAACAAATGTAAATATTATCCCGCTTGCTTTCTGGGCGTTATTGAGTGAGTTGATGTTAAATAGCCGCAGCGATTAGCTGATCCATTATAAATGGCGCGACAGTGGAGAAAATCCCCTCTGCAGACACGCTCGTGTTTGGATCCTCAAGTAACGTTATTGTTGTAACATCAGAGAGAGGAGGTAATACGTTACCTCACAAACACGCCAGCTGGTCAAAGGGGCTACAAAGAGTAAGAGAGGGATAGTTTACAGCTTATATTTTTTCCTAGCTGGGTTCTGATGTACTTTAGTGGTGTAAGATTGTCCAGCAAACTCACTAAGTGAATCTGCACAGTTATTTGCTTTTTAAGTAGTTGGAGCATTTTAATTACTCTCAGTCTCCTCCCTCACCATTGTACTTTACTGTGATAAATGACGTCAGTACTTGGTAATGGTTATGATTATTACTGAACCAATACTGAATTGTTCGCATCTACATTAAAGAAACATTTCATTTTGACAACCCTTTGAATGACCATTCAATTGTTATTTCAATATTATATATTAGTGCTTTATAATAGTGCTTTAGAAGTAAGTTTTATAATCCAACAAAAAGTTTTGTAGTTTGGAACAATAATTCTGTATTTTGTCATTTTATTTTCATTAAATTGAATACATTTAATTGAATAAAGAGCAAAATTCTTATCATAATTTTTTTGTATATAAATGAATTGTAATTAATGTGATGTGACCCTTTAAATACTTCAGATATGGTAATTATATTATGTATCACTAGCAATTGCATTTTTAAAATAAATCTTTGTTTTATATATTGTATCCAGGCGGAAAGAGAAAAGACGACTGGCGATGGCTGGTTCAACATGAGAGCTCCTGAATTAACAGAGGAGCTGAAAAATGACCTGAAGGCACTGAAGATGCGTGCAGCCATGGACCCCAAGCGCTTCTACAAGAAGAATGATAGAGAAGGCTTTCCAAAGTACTTTCAGGTAGGTTACTTTTTTTTTTATCATCAGCAACAGACTGTTCTTCTTTCCTCAAACAACTTTTTGATAAGCCATTGTTTCTAAGACAAAAAACAAAGAATGGTAGCATCAAAATACCCCAATTAACCGCAGCCTTATGTGTTTAAAGGTAGCAGACAATGACACATTATTCGGTTCTTTCTATTAAAGTTTGGCTGTTTTTGTTTCAGGTTGGCACAGTGGTTGACAGCCCTGTAGACTTTTATAATTCACGAATGGCTAAGAAACAAAGGAAACGTACCATTGTGGAGGAGCTTCTTGCTGATGCTGAGTTTAGAAGGTATGTTGGAGAAACTGTGGCTGATTAGCTTTATGTGGAGGAAAATGTGATAAATTATTTGTATTCCTGACAGCGGGCTTTTTTTATCGATTGTTCTCGCTATTGTTTTAAATGAACTGTCATGTTCTAAAATGCATCTTTTCTTCTCTTTTTAGCTCTAATAAAAGGAGATATCAGGAGATCATGGCAGAAAAAGCAGCACAGGCCGCTGGAAAGCAGCACAGAAAGAAGCACACAAAGTTCTCTAAAAAGAAAACAAATAAATAATTTCATGAGGCAAATCAGATTATTTTTCCCTCTTATGTTTTTTTATTTTTAATAAAAAAAAAAACATTTCAAGAGATTGTCAAGCTTTTGTAAATAGAAGCCCACCATATTTTGTTTTAGTAAATTTCTGAGAAGGTTATTTTGGTATTAATGTGCAACTTGTACAGAGAAAGTAAAGAAGATTTTATACTTTTTAAAGGTTGACTTTCACTTGGCTTAAGATTACGTCGAGAACATCTGTCAGAATGTGGAATCCCAATAAATCTTCCAATACCAATACATTGTCATGTTTTCCATTTTTAAGAATACTTTTCATAATGAAAGCTAATCAAATATGTATTACAATCTCCAGTTCTGTATTTTGTTCTCCGATTTATTTATTTTTGTCAATAGTTTTGCCTCAAATTTCAGAACTTTGTTGTCAAATTTCAAAGCTCTAGACACAAAATTACAACCATTGCCACAATTGTACATTTTTGCAAAACTCTAACTTTTTTTTTTTCTAAATGCTCAGACAAAATACACAAGTCAAAGATACTTTTCAAATGAACTAAAATCCCCTTTTTAATGTATTAAAATTAAACATTTAATTTGATCCCATTTCAAAATGCAACTCAAACGTTACATTTAAAATTACTGTGGGTTCATTTAATTAACAATGTAATTATCAACTGAAACAAGTGCTCAACATAAGTAGCTGTTGCATGGACACTTATGTACAATATTACATGTTTAGATGATGAAAGTTTCAGGATGGATCAAATGACATCAGTTACCACAGAAGTGACCCACCTGGACTACATTATGTATAGATTGTATCCTTGTTCCATATATATGGTTTCTATGTTCCATGTACCACCTTTACAGACAATAATTTAATATTTGATATTACTGTATGCAAGAAAGCACAATCACTGCACCAATATGAGGTCTGGAATTGCATTGACAGTAGGTTCTTTTTAAGACTGCTGACTAATGAAAGCCCAACGGTGATGAGGGGAGAACCTGTGGCCAAATCCACAACACCAGACTGATGGAAACACAGATCCCAAACAGAAATCTGATGTATAGAAATATATGCAAACTACATATGACATTATAATTCATAATGATTTCAAACATAAAATATGTCACACATGTCAAAATATTGCATAAATTGCTTTTTTTTTTTCTACAATACTACAAGAATAGTACATATATGTTGTGTCAATATAATACATATATATGTGTAAATATATTCCATGTATGAACACACACATATATATGTTTGAAAAAAATGTAAACTGACATTTTACAGTAAACACAGTATGTAAAATCCAAATGTAATTTGCATATGTTGCAATAGGTCAGGTTTTCGATTCGGGGACGTGCAGTGAGACACTTTTATTAACTTTACTATTGTTTTTTTTTTTTTTTACAGCAAACCTACATTATGATTGAATAAATAAGACTTTAGTTAAATGTTTCCACTGTACTGTTCCCTCTACACATATATAAACAATAAAGAAAGCTGTATCATATTTAAACAGCAATATTAAATGATTATCATTGGATATTGAATGATTAAAAACTGCGTATCTTGTTTTTGGGTGATCTAAAGTTGTGTTTCTGTACTATTTGTATGATAAAAGGATTATGTGAACCTATAATCCTGCAAATGCAAGACTTCTCTAAAGAAATGAACGCAACATGCAATGTTTTAAACACTAGGAAACCTGTTAAAAGTAGTGACTGTTCAGAGTTTTAAAAAGTGACATCAGGGTTCAGAAATTTGTGGCAAAACAACTGAAAAAACCTGCAGTTTACCAGCCATATATATCTGGAGTTGTGTGTGGTCACTGTGTCCAGGTGTTTAGTGATGCGTTTTTGTAGAGCTCCTTGTAAATTTTGCTCAGACTGTCCTCAAAGACTGCTCTGTGGGACGTCTCTGTGTTTGCTGTCGCTCTGTTGGTCCAGAATGTTCCACTTTCTACATGAGCAGATGGTTCTCCAGAAATACTTCTACTGAAATAACAGGACACAACAATGAATGTCAAATTAAAATGTATAACTGCACTGTAATAAGTTCACATTATCACAAAAAAAAAAAAATTCTGGAAAGTGGCACATTGCAAAATTAAAAAATATATAATGCTTTGATTTTTTTTTAACAACTGGAGTATGACAATGAAAACTGCTGTCATAAATGCTGTTTTTTTTTAAATCTTTTGGCAATTTCTCAGTTATGGTCAAAATCTCAACTAAATTTAGAGTATTTACTCTCGCATACATTTAGACTGATAAAAGGATTGAATCAAACATGATTTGCTAAAACAACATGCTTTTCATATTCTTGGTTTGAGCTTCACAAAATTATCCCCAAAAAAAAAAAATATATGTTGTCTTGTAAATACTTTTTTTCCTGTAATGTGTGAAGTTTATTCCAAATTTATTGTGTTTTCATGGAATGAATTTTGGTGAATAATGATGAGTATGTGCATGCATGCTGCCGTGATCGAGAATCAGCACATGACGTTAACACAATGCATTGTGGAACAGTGAATGTAGGTATTTTGTAGTATTCAATTATTAATATGTTGTAAAAACAAGAAAAAAAAAACAATCAAGACTGTTGACTTGGTAAAATCATATTCAGCCAATTTGCATGGAGGGAAAAAAAACAAAAAAACATGCAATTCATCTTCGACATTAGGAATTTAAGCATAAGCGATCTCTCTCTCCCTCTCTTTTTTAATATTAGATTCTGGTTGCTGATTTTTATTAAAAATATATATATATATAAATAAATATAAAATACATTTGTTCAATGTTAGTTCATGTTAACCCACTGTGCATTAACAAATGTTAACAAGCACGAATTTGGACGTAATAATTTTTTAGTAAATGTTGAGATTTGATGAATAAATGCTGTACATGTACATTGTTCATAATTAGTTCATGTTACATTAACTAATAAAACCTGTAACTAATAAAAACTGTAAAGCGTCACAGTATTTGCTTAAGAAGGTAGTGACCACTACACAATGCAACACACTGTGACAATCCCCATTCTCTGAAATAAATAATACATAAAAATAAAATAACATATGAAATATATTTTGGGGTGTATAAGTAAGGAAGACCAAGAACATTACATTTTTTAAATAAGTGATTTATAACTTGATAACGATTTAAGGATTTACATAAATAGATTTAAATGAATTACAAATTAAATATTTAGTAATATTAAATATTAAAATCCGTATTCACCCTAATTTACATGAGAAATCCTCAAGAGTTTGAAATGAGGCGTTGTTTACCTGTCCTGTTGCAGCCGGCTGTCAATCACTGAACCACAGTGGGCGGAAACACATGAACTCTGTGTGACTCCCTTCTCCTCCTCCTCACTCTCTTTATCCTGACAACACACACACACATATATAAATACACACTTTAGTCATGAACATCACTGTCACTAAAAACTGCACAATGTTAAACTATGCTTAATTGTAATAAAATAAAATTGGCATGATTATGTAAGCAGCATTACAAAAATACTACACTAATTAAGGAGATCATTTTTGTTTGTAAATTTATTCATCTTTCAGCCATCTAAGACATCTAAGACTTTTCAGCCGAAACCAGGATGAAGCATCTGAAATGGCTTGAGCCTACAGATCTACAAATTCAATCAAAACTCATTCATTCATTTATTTATTCATTTTCTTTTCAGCTTAGTCCATTTATTATTCTGGGGTCACCACAGCGGAATAAACCGCCAACTTATACTGTATACTGTATGTTTTACGCAGTGAATGTCCTTCCAGCTGCAACCCATCACTGGGAAACAACCATACACTCTCATTTACACACGCATAAACTACAGAAAATTTTGCCTACCCAATTCACCTATATAGCGCATGTCTTTGGACTGTGGAGGTAACCGGAGCACCTGGAGAAAACCCACGCGAACGCAGGGAGAACATGCCAACTGAGGCTCGAACAAGCGACCTTCTAGCTGTGAGGTGACAGCACTACCTACTGCGCCACCGCATTGCCCTTTAAATTAAAACTATTTCATGCTCAAAACATAGTTACAGCATTCCGATTCTCTAAGGAAAAAAAGTGCCTGGAGGTGTGCCGTGGGCAGATCTACTGAGCAGCTTCTACACAAAAAAACAGGGAAACAACTATGTTTTCATAACACTTTGACCCATAAAATCACAGTGGCACGATCAGTCTAGGATGGTTCTAGGATAAAATGATCACACCAGTGTTAAATTAAAATCTGCCTTCCTGCAATTGGAAAACAAACAAAGTGCTTGTCAATCAAACATATCAGCGTTTTCAATTAAATAATGCTTGCATTAGGTTTCAGACAATTTAACACAAGGTAAACCAAAAAAAAGTGCTTTGTAATAAGCATGGAGGCAGTGATTTTTATATTAATGTAGAAAATAATAATTTTTATAATATTTTAATCTTTTTTTCACTTGTAAAGATATTTGCGTATTGCTGTGTGTATTAAGCAATGTGTAAGCGTAATACTCACCCTTTTTCTAGATCAGAAAACACCCATGAGTACACAAAGTGGCGCAAATGGATTTGCTATTTAAACATGGTGGCAGAAATCAAAAAAATTAAGGTTGTGCTGGTATGAAAATGGCAAACACGTCTTGCACCTTATTGTGCCTTATGTCAGAAAAAAAGGTTTGAATTAACTATGGCTAGAGTGATTTCTGCAAAACTGTTGCAAACAATTTATATAAGTTGATTTTTTAACAAACAAACACATAAAATGTAGTAATGTTAAACTTAATTAGTTTGTTTAAATTCAGCCCAAATAAACTGTTTTCAAATACTTATCTTAAAACAAATTTGTAAATCCAATGAATCATCTTTGAATCTTATTTCAGTGCAAGCTTTACCACAAAACACACTTTGGAACTCATTATCAGCCAAATCAATGTTGTGGTTGATAGGCGCTGGTCATGCATATGTTTTTAGAAGGGTTAATAAAAGAATTTACACCCTTGGTTACATAACCAAGAGCCAAGCTCAAAAAATAAAATCACAAAAGTAGTTAACGACCCAAAAGTAACATTTTTAGAATACTATGTTACGTACGAATATCAAAGAAAAAAAAAAAAACTCAGCCATGTTTAATATGAGAGCCTAACTCTTGAAAAGTGTAAATAATATTCACAAATAAATGTTTGCTTCTTGTACTTCTTTTTAGCCTCCGGCACCTAGACTGCACCTCTGCAAAAGAAGTTTAGCCAGAGAAAAATGGTAGTGGATTCTCTCGAGGTTTCATTCCTTCACTTTCGTCAATTGGTGAAGTTTGTTCCTTGCCACTGGCTTGCTTGGTTTAAGACTTGTGGAGCTGGGCATCAATGGATTTGCTCTTCAGTGTTTGGACTTTCAGCAATGAAATTTAAACTACGCTGAACTAAACTTAAACTCTGAAATCTGGACTGATGCAGTTACAATTTACTAAAACTTGTATGTTAAGCTGTTTTGATACAATCTACATTGTAAAAGCGCTATACAAATAAAGATGTATTGAATTTAATATTATTTAATGCTCGATTAAGGAAGGAGAAAAAAAAACAACTACATCTAAAATACCCTTAGGGTGAAACATTTTCATTTTTGGGATAAACTATATCTTTAAATTCCTTAAAATCTGCTAATGCGACAAAGAGTGACACTCTCATAAAAGCAGATCCTTTGAACTGCTTGATTAAAACTCTTTAAAAATAAATCCCACTTCTTCTCTCTTTTTAAGTCTGAAGTGGATTACACATTTCCCGTCTTGAGCTGGGCTTCAGCCACATGGTGCTTGGCACCCGACTGTGCCACTGTGCCATCTCTCCTCTATCTGTAAAAGATGAGTCTGTAACGACAGCCGTCAGCCAGCAGACCCGACTACGAGTCAACATGCGCTCCTTTTTCTCCTCTAAGGGAGGATTTGAGGAAGCTTTAGAGTAATTAGAACTCTTTGGCTTTTTTTTTGGCATCAGGGTGTTCCAGCGAAACGTGGCGTGGGTGGTGATGCGTTTAAGCGGCCCACGACTGGAGCGAACAGAAAGAATGAGCACATAAGGTGATTACCTGGAAGACAGTGGCGGCACATCCTGACACAATGGATGTGAAGAATACAGAGCGTCTGACAGAATCAATGGAGGACGTTTGAAACGCTGACATGCGGCGTAATGAGTGTTTCGGGGAATGCTTTTGCACACAGAATGACAGCATTACATGCGGTTGCGATCTCAAGACGTGACGTACAAAAGAAAGCTTGCAGCGGGGTCCGTGTCTGTTAAGGATTCTCTGCACTCGCTTGTGGATCTCCTGTGACTGCGAGGGACTGGATGAACTCTGGAACCTGTTGGAAATGGAAAACAACACGGCTGAAAATGCATCACAAAGAGAGCAAAGTCGTTGCACAAATATGAGCAATTAAGTCTTGGAACTTCACCAGAAAATCAATTACAAAGGAATGGTTGGAGGCGCCAACTATAATGAATTCGTACAAATGATGAATTATTAGTTTTTAAACTTGAATTAACTGAAAGACTCATTAATGTTTTTGCGGCCACGTCGAATTAAATTCACAAAAGTGATTTTATTTATGTAGAAAGCATATTAAATGAATGCCTTCTTAAATGTTAGAGATACATTTTTTAGAAATGAAAGGTCATAATATGGCTGAAATAATCATAAACAGACATTTATGTAAAAATAAGTCATTTTGACCTATACTTATTAAAATTCATAAAAGATTGAGTGCTCATGCTAAAAACTTTGTATGAATTTTTGGTAACACTTTAGTTTAGGTCACAATTCATGCTATTAACTACTGGCTTATTACCTGCCTATTATTAAGATGTGAACTGTTTATTAGTACTTGAGCAATTTCACCATTATGGATGTGACATTTGCAGTAAAAACCCAAAACATAAATTGACAGAGAGAGTATATGTTAACATTATATTGAAACATCTGTTAAAATTTTGCAAAACAACTAACCCCAGTGTTATGGGATCAGGAAAATATCAATCTGTAAACATTTTATAAACTTTAAATGGGGGAAATAAACATGCATTATGGATGTGACCAAAAAAGTCTGTGAGTTTGCAGTATACAACATTGTAGAAATTCAGTGAATTGAACTGCTCAACCAATAAGAAACAACGCTAATCAAAAGGATAGGAGTTGCCTCTCTATAGAACAAAAATGACTGATTTGATTTATTTTACAATTTTGTATTTTTGAGGAAAAGAGCTTGGTAATGGATGTGACATCTCCATTGTGGATGTAACGAATGTATAATTGCCACTTGTGTGACTTTGGTAAATCAAATATTAGTTTGAAGACATTGAGTATTTTTACAGTCCTGTAAAATACAAGCCTACACAAAAAACTTAAAAGGGTTTCGCTATTTTGGTAAAAACTAATTTTTATTCAAAAAAAAAAAAAAAAAAAAACGAACAGTTATAAAGCATGATCTTATTTTGCATCCCAAAACCTACCCAAAACCTAAATACAACTTCTACCTTAACTATTAATAAACAGATAGTTTTGTTAATACTGTGAATTGTGTCAAGTAAGAGATCTTGATGACAAGTGGGTAAAACATAGTGGATTAAAGGAAAAAGAGGAGTATAAAAATATAAAATGGAAATGACTGAACATTTGGGGGATGCACAGTGATCCTTAAATATTGCCTTTTGAAATGAATCGAATTTTGAATGAATTGAATTGAATCATTTATTAATTTTGTCAATTTATTTGAATTATATTACATTTTATATTTTATATATTTTTGTGTTTTGTTTTTAAAGCAATGTTTATACACTAAACATGATTTTAGTGGGTATCAACACTAAATTGTTATAAATATATATATAATAGTCATTGTAAATTAAGTACACCACATTTTGAAAATAAATATTTGTATCCATTTCTCAGTGTATTAAAAATATTGCAAAATCAAAAAAACAAAAAAATTTCTTCAAAAGTTTTCTCTTTTTTTTTGCATCTCTTGATTTTTCCTTCTTTTTTAAAAAATATTGTATTTAATATTTTTTATAACATAAATTTGGCTGTACTAGTTTTTGGACTGTTATCGTAAGTTACTTTTTAGCACCAGGTTTGGCTTCAGTACTGACTAATCTAATGTACAGTATATGCAAAATATACTAGCTTCCTATCAAAAATATTAATTCAAAGGAAAGATTTGTGAGGGCTGTACTTACATTTGCTGAAAACTGTATGATTAATAAAGTAACATCTCTCTCTTTTTTTTTTTTTTTTTTTTTTTTTTTTTTACATTTTTTAAATAACATTTGAAAATGATTTTAAAAAATACCAGGGCATGACAAATAAAATAGATTGAGTTAGTTCAATCCCAGCTCTGAGCACTAGTCTGTGCTGTTGCCCTTGCATTGGAGTGCTGTCATCTTGGGGAATACTTGTAAATTTCAGACCAGTTAAATCATGAAGTTAAATCACAAATACACACACCGAGACATTTATCTCCAGCCCTGTAGCAAATGCTGATATTTTCATTTTACGCATCTAAATATGCCACAAGAGAGAAAAGAAAAGCTCGGATGAGGAATTACCCAGACATTTGATCCGTGTCCTTGGGTTTAGAATATCAAACCAGCATCTGAATGCACTAGCAGCATAAACATTAACTCACCGAGTTTGCTCAAAAAGACAGATGAAGGGAATTAATTAGAATTTTATTAAAAGAAAAATAGATGTAAAAAAAGACCAGTAGATCTGTATGAAAGGTCATGCGTCACTTTGGTTTTTTATCTTTAATGGCCGTAACACAGGCAGGTTTTTATAATTACCATACAAGAAGACCAGAGAGGGCCGGTCTGAACTTTAAAAAGCGCTGTTTCTTTCTCTCCCCCACCATCAGCAGCTCAAAAAGACGTGCCTGATCTCTCATTGTGCGAATCTGCGGAGCGAGCCTTAATCTCCAGGCCTGTGACTCTGGTCATGCTTCCAATTGACAGAATAGTATCACACATTTCCCACTATTTACTCTCAAGACTTAGATTGTCTATTGATTTTAAATGTTTGCTCATGCCCCTGCGGAAAAGGCGCCGGTGGTAGAGAGACTAACAGACAAACAAACAAACATTTGCCGCTTTCGCAGCCGATGTTCAGATCAATGACAAGGGTCTCTCGGAATTTATTAAACTGTGCGTTGGGTCAAACGCATTAGATCTCACTGAAACCCAATCAATAGCATTTTCCCCTTGTTTTCTCTGCAGCTTTCCCCCCCTTCTCATAAGTAATGAACAAACATGACCAAACATCAGATTCTGTCGTTTGAAGGTGAGGCAGTAAATTCATCTTGTCTGTTGTGCGATGGCAATATAGATTTGTGGAACGGACGCTCTGTTTACTGGGCTTTGTTTTTATGAGCCGCGCGTTTAGTCAATATCATGTAATTGGAAATTCATAGGAAATGGGCGAAAGGGTGGCTCTTGTAGTTTTGCTTTTGGCGTGCTTGTAGGTTTGGGAAAAAATGCATATCATAATATATGGATTTTTCGGAAAGGCACAAGCACGACTCATAAATGTACGTATCTAAGGATGCAGAAGTAGAATGTTTGTGTTTGTTGGACCTTGACGAAAAAACAAATCAATCCATTGAAAAAAATCAAACGGTAGCAAATGTCTGTGCTAATGAGACACAAAACTTGCGGGAAAGAAGGAAAATCCACCATTCATGAAATTAATTGTAATAAGATCTAGGTGCGTGACATTTTAATTTATGGCCAATGGTAAATCTAAGAGATGTCAGTCACAATCACAGTAAAACTTAACGGTATTAACTTATTGTCTGCACCCACCACACATAGGATTTTTTTTTTGTAAAGTCAAGTTAAGCTTTATTGTCATTCCGCTACATGTGTGGGCATACAGTAAATGAAATGTTGTCTTGCAGGACTATGGCGTGACATAAATAAACAATCATATATACGGAAACAACACTGGCGTAAGAGCAATTTTAAACCTATACTAAAATACTGGAATTGTATGTTAACTGTAAATTATGCAAGACAAACTAAATAAGTATATCTTTACATAAGACAGAGCAATATTGTAATAAACATATGTTTATTAATCCTTTAAAGAGCTGCATTTAAACCTGCGTTTGATCGAAAGAGATTCAGTTTATACACTTTTTCAGTTAGTTACAAACAATTAAATAACACAGAGGTACAGGGATAACAGTTTATAGTTCAGATATAAACACTGATGTTTATGGTAATGATTAAAATCATTGTTTAATGGAACTTGACGCTGGTCAATGTTGAAGCAATTATTTTGTGTAACCAATGGGTGGCGACAAACAACCATCAACATTATGTCACTAAATAGGTTTTCAAAAGTTTTATGTGTGAGTTGTTGAATTATTAATTAAAATTAAATATAATATGTTGTACAAGATGTTAGATTTCTATATTTAGCATTATCAGCAACAGTAGCAAAGATCTTTTTTTGTATTAAATACTTTCCTTTTTCCTTTGTGATTTTTGTTTTTATTTAATTACAGGTTCTAGGGGTCAGGTCCTGACTCTCTGTGGTCATTAAAAATCCATTAGCTCTATCCTATCAAAATTTTTATATTTTAGCCAATTATTGGTTTCCACATAAAGAGTTATTGATTATCGGTTTTCCATTTGGGTGCATCTCCAATGCTTAACAGATTACATTATTAAGTCAGATCTCATTTTCAAGTTATTTTTCAATTATGGGTATACCTTCAGGTAGGTTTGCATGCTTATTTTTATCTCTAGTAGTGTAAAATTATGCAATTTAGTTTGACAGGTCCATCGTAATTGATAATGATTCACTAATTGTTTAGGCTCACCACTGGTGTAAAAGCAGAAAAGCTAGAGTTAAACATACCGTTCTCTCAGGGAAGATCGGGTCAGCACTGGACTCTGATCTAGAAGCATTCCGGACGCTGGGGTGGATTTGTCTTTGGGAGATTTATTTGGGAAACTTCTAGCTGCTTCCTACAAAAATACCAGAAAACTAGGGTGAGAATGGGAACCTTACATTAAGTTCATCTGTGACCTTACAACAGATTACACCACTGATTAACCACTCATGTAACTTACCTGTGAGGGCTTTGACCTGAAGCTTCCAAGCAGAGAGGGATCTAAAGAGTGGGAAAATATGGTGAAATAAACCCCTCACACATAACATTACATTAAAATTTCTGATTATTATCTGATTTAGACACTGAAATGAAGAATCTAAATGGACAGCTCAAACCCATGTGAAACCTGTGTGGCTGAAACAAATGCTACACTACAGTAATAGAAATCATTTAAGCTCATATAAACCACATTCATTTTTTCTAAACAGAGAAAAATAACTTTTTTTGTTAACCTTACTTTCATGTTATATGTAGGGCTGCACAATTAATCGTAAAAAGATTGCAATCTTGATTCGACCCCCCACACTAGTTTAATCTAACATCTCTACGATTCAGCCAATTATATTCTTACATCCAAGAAAAGCATAAAAGGAGGATGCACAAGTCTTTACATTGTTTTATATACGTTGCTCATTAACAGGGACCCCTCCAAATGGTGTTAAAAGTGTCCCATACTGTATTTATAAGGCATAATTTCGCGGCCACGAAATCACACGCGAGCTAATGCTCTGTTTGTTTATAATTGAGAGGACGCACACGAATGATGTATACTTTAGTGAACAGAATATGCATAGGCTGTGAATAACATGTAATAAAGTTATAAATAACGTTCAGTTTGATCGATTGGGACTCACATGGGAAGTATGATTTTTGCATGTATATTTTATTCCTCAAATTGATGGCAGCCATGACATGATGAGCGCACTCAACAAGAAAAGTGAAACTGAAAGCAAGCACATCATTTAAATCAGGGATGGGCAAACTTGATCCTCAAGGGCCGGTGTCCCTGCAGAGTTCTGTTCCAACACTAGTCAAACACACCTGAACAAACTAATCAGTGTCTTCAAGATCACTTGAACTCTATAGGGAGTTCTGTTTAAATAGGGTTGGAGCTAAACTGTGCAGGACACCGGCCCTCCAGGACCAAGATTGCCCACCCCTGATTTAAATGATCATATCACATTTTAGAGTTATGATTACAACAAGCATTTGAAATAAATTTTCTTTCATAGTGAACACAAAGTGTGCATGAAAATAAATGTTTTACAGTGTCACTATAACTATTCTAGCCTATATAATGTTGAATATAATGCAATAGGGAATCTGATAATGACAAATGTCTCATTTTTCCAGTGGAAAAAAATCTAATAACGTTGTCAATGACAGATTGCAGGCATGTATCTCAAACACAACAATTCTACTTTAGAATTATGAATAGTTGTAATTTGATGTCATCACTTTACTGTGCATTAACGACCAGGTCAAGTCCAAGTCCAAGTCTATACAAAATTTTGCATTTTAACCAACAGTAGACCTACTCATAGGCTTAATACTATTCTTGTTGTTTCACCATATGTTGGAGAATAACAATAATAATAGCCTACTCATATTAACCTTTATTTCACATCTACAGAATCATGAGAAAATTGTGATCATGACTTTAAGCAAAAGTGATTCCCATTTTACCCAGAATCGGACAGCCCTAGCTATATGTGAAACAGGTATTTTAAACATCAGATATATTAAGCTTTGTTTTGTCAACATTTTGAAAATTGTCTGTTTTGATTGATATGCAGTTTAAAATGTTCAAAGGGGGTGTACTCATTTTAACCCATATTTAAATCTATTTTTTATTTATTCTTTATTCTGTCTAACGTTAATAATCCGTACTGTTGCCTTATTGGAATTTTGACACTAGTGGCTGTTTCCCAATTAGCAACAGAGTGTTGCCTCTCAGTGATTCTATGCTCTTTGATATAGTTAAAACTTAAGATGTCCAAACCAACACAGAACCCTAAATACTTTTTTTTTTTTTTTTAATATCTTCTTTTACATTCCACGGAAAAAAAGTCTTAACTACATCAATTCATTAAAAAAGTAAAAAAAATATAGTGACCTGTAAGCTCTGTGGTGTAGCTCCGTAATCGCATATCTAGGGGGCTTCGTTTAGTAAAAGACTGAGATGTTAGATGCGTGGAGGATTCCATTAGAGATGTATTTGGGCTTCGGGGGACCTGCAAACAGAAGACGCAATCAGCATTAAAAGATAAATAATCGCTCATCTCAGATTTAGCAGGTGAAGCAGCATGCATCAACACTTCATTGACACACGGTGCATTGATTATTCTAATGAATTTGACTTTCATTTCAGAGTTAATCACTTCTCTAGGAAGGTGAAAGCGAGGAGAGGATCTTCATAGGAAAGTTACTCGGACTCAGGTGTCTGTGTATAAACTCAACTCTCAGACTTCAATTACACCATTGGCACTTCATTTAAATAGTAAAGTGACCACGCGAGTTAATGAAACGGCGCTATTTAGTTTTCGTGCAAAACAAGTGTGCCGACTTTAAACACACATAAACCGAGCGTGCTAATCTGCTGAAATAAGAGGAAAGAATTTGCTAATCACGGCCTGACTCTTAATTACTTAGGTTAATTGTAGCCTGGGGATTTTCTTTGAAAAGGCTACTCACTTTTTAAAAGGCCTGTGACAGAAAATGCCATGATGATATCAGACACAAATCCAAGAGCTGCCTTTTATACCATGACAGCTTTGATATTTGCACCCCGGGACGCATTATTGTTTTTGAAAACACGGGGAAAGAAACAAGAGGGAGAACTGATGTTTTTACTTCAGTCAGAAAAACAGGTGGACATTTTGACATGGCTGTCTGTCTCCTATAATCAACGCCTTCGCAGAAGAAATATTATTTCTTAAGATCTCGAGTATACCTCTACATTTGACAGGTATAATAATAAAAAAATGAAATAAAATAGGTGCATATATATTAGTTATCCTGAGCTAATGTGTCATGTCCATGCAACAACAAATCAAAAATAAAAACAAAAAGAAATTCAATTCAATGAAAACTACTTAGTTAATATCACCCACCACAAATGGAGCCTGAGGGGCCGTCTCTTTCTGAAATGTGTAAGGCCCAAGTTTGAGGTGGCTGAGTCGCTGTCTGGCCTCCTCGGACAGCTGACACATTTTACGGTGAGTGTAAGGTGATGGAGCTCGGCTTCTGGATGCCACTGTTGACTTTTCATACCCACAAGATGATACTTTGTCTGATTTCTTCTTCTTTTTTGCAGAAGAAAGGCAAGTTCTCATAGAACTGGGCTTAGCAGAGGATCGACCATGTGACTGGATGGGGAAAAAGTATGAAAAGATGAAGATGTATTAGATCTGACAGCAGCTGCATCACAAAGCGTTAGTAAACAATTAAACAATTAGAATGATGATTTAATATGAATAATGCTGACAAAATGCTAAATTTTTGGGGGGATTTTTAGTCACACAAAACAGTGGCTGGTACTTTTAGAAACATGGTTAGAATTAAAAATAAAGAGTTAAATAATAATAAAAAAATAATAAAGGGTGTATATATATATATATATATATATATATATATATATATATATATATATATATATACATATATACATATATATATATATACATACATGCATACATGCATACATACATACATACATACATACAAACATACATACATATATATATATATATATATATATATATTTTATTATTTTTTACTCTTTATTTTTAATTCTAACCATCTTTGAATCATATATATATATATATATATATATATATATATATATATATATATTATATATACATATAAAAAATTCTTCAAAGAACATTTTAATATAGTAAAAAACATGTCTTTTATTGACATGTGTTTTTGCCAGATTTTTCAGACAATTGTTTGAGATGTCATCAAACACTAGCCAAACATCATTGTTGAATCATTTGTTGTTTATTTAACATTAATTCATTTACTTTCTATGAGCAACAGCGATGCCTTAGCAACACTAGTAATATTAATGCATGGGAACGACTACAGTCTGTTTCTAGTGGCGTAGAAATGAGGTCTTCGCCTTTCAAATCAAAAAAAAGGAAAAGAAGATCCCAGAGGAAGAGAGTATAAGGTCATGCTTTATTGTAGTGATATTGCGAATGTCTTTCGGTTTGTACGGCGCTAATCCACTAATTTCCTTGTTCTGTACACATGTAACCTGATGTAAACCTTTCCTCAGTGTTCCAATCTCACCTTTGCAGGCAAATGACTTCAATAACTCTAATCTCAGCTAACATAATTCTGAGCCCCAATAACTCTGTTCCTGCAGGCGCTGCCTGGGTAAATACGTTTTTAAAAATGTTAATTGCATTTGATGGCCGGTCTCAACCTAATATGATAATGGCATTACATGGATGTAAAAAAACAACGATAATTTAAATGCTAATTGGAACATCCTGGCATATTAAGTCATTTTTAAAAAGCAAAGAAGGAAAAAAAGTAAATCCTGATCGCGATTGCCGTTTGAAGAGTCGAGATTTAATGAAATTAAACTAAGTGGCTTTTTCTCCTTTTATTCTTCTCTCTCTCCCTCTCTCTCTTCTTCCTTTTTCTTTGGACGGAGGGACAAAGAGGCCGTTTTAAAGCAGGAGTCGCGCTTGTCTGATGTGATTAGTGGCTCGGCTGGTGTTGGTAATGGGAGATAAAGCCGGATGTCCTTGAAACAACAAAGCCAGCACCACAAGTAGCTTATTAAACAAGAAACAAGCGTCGTTCAAATGCATGCAAATCGCGCCGAGAAAGCCTGCTTTACAGAATGGCGTGTCAAGTCCGAACGAGAGACATCCACAAAGGGAGGACTCGCACATGAAACGCGCTTCTGACGAGACGGTCAACAGCAGAAGCCGTCTAACGAGGGCCTGAGAAACTTGACATGAAGGATGCGATTCTAAACAGCCTGAGAACATGTAATGGAAGAAACAAATTGGAGCGGTCAAGTCCAACTGATCAGTGCCTATCCGGGTAAAATCGAGCCAATTCTGGGTAATTACCTGCATGGTGAAAGAAAAACATCCTGGAAGGGGGTGTGAGGCCACTAAAAGGACAGCAGCAAATGATACAAGTGGCACAGATGGCAGTGGACAGTTTGATTGACAGGGAGACCCACCATACTCCCACGTACATCTAAGAAAAGCCTTGTTACATGAAAGCCATTCGATCCTTTTCTGCGCTTCTTTTCATTTAGCATCAGAGATAATTGCTCTGTTCCAAAACATAACGAGCGGTAGCATCGCACGGTTCTTCCAGGGGCCTTAAAAGGCAGCTGCCTATGTAGGCAGCACGCTAGCTTTGGAACGGAGCTGATAGCAGATGCAATATAATGGCAATAACAAAAAAGCTCAGAGACTCACAGACACGGCAGACTGACCATGTTTCACATCACACTCCTCAATAATAGACGTCGTTGAAAACTCCACTCTGGGAGAGATTCCCTGAGGGAATGAGACAGGAGAGATAGCAAGCAGAAAAAAAAAACATCACAAAACTTTTCGAATGATGAAAAGACAGAGGGCAAATGCAGATAATAACACTCTTGGCAGATCAATTTACCAAAACAATCTACGTCTTCAAGCAAATAGCAGGAAAATGGGACCGGCTTTTAAGATGCATCAGAGATATGACAAAAACGCTGAGAGGAAGACACACGCACAGGGAAGGAGATGGATCTCTTCATCAGAATCTCTCTCTCTGGGCCGGGGCTTCTGGGAGTCAGACGAGGGCCTGGATACAGAAACTCCCGCGTGTCGGCTTCAAACGTGGCCAGGATTTCACCCTCTGCACGGTTAAATCAAAAATACATGATGTAATAGTGAATTCTGTCCATTTTTCCTGACAGCTGGGTAATCAAGTTGTTTCAGAGTAATAAAGATGTTTCTTTGTATTTTAAAGCAATAACACAACAAAAACCATTGCGTGTCAAAAACTAAGCCCATGAGACCTCCACTGAAAGCAGCATGATTTATGCATAATGTAATGAGAGCGCTCAGTCCAATAATGTATGTATTCCCTTGCCGATGTTGGTTAATTTTTGAAATTGTACCAACAGAAAGCAAAAGCCACTCTTCAATCAAAAGTCAGCACAAATGCAATGTTTTCAGTTTACAGTACCATGTTGGAAAACTCAATCTAAGGTCTCAAATATCTGTCAGCGTTTTACTCTGGATTGGAAGTGAGATTTTACCTGGAGGAACAAGCTGAATGAGCTCTAAAGACGTTGTATCATCTGCAGCAGAGGAAAAAAACATAGCGGAAAGGTATATACGTTTATTGATTTGAGGTTTAAGAAAGAGAGCAGCACAAACTGAAGGCAGCCCAAAGGATTCTTACTCTCTAGATGTTCAGCTACAGCAGCCGGGTCAAGCATTCCTACAAAGGTCTGGGGAACAGACACAGACAGAATAAGATGTTGTAGGCTGAATTTAATCTAAGCCGTTTTGATCAAGCCTCACCTTCACAAACACCATTTTTTCATGCAGCAGCAGAGGGAAAACTGGAGGAACACACTTCGACTTTTGGTACTGACCCATTATCCGCACACTTAAATAAATGTCCTCTTGGGACGGTAACATCACCCCCGGACAAGTGATCTATAGGGACAACATACCGACATGAGGTCATTTTTATACAAATTGCATCTGTTAAGAAATTGTTTTGTACACATGCTGTCAGTGTTATCAGGGTTTCTGCAGGTTTCAGCAAGTTAAATTTAAGACTTTTTTAAAACCATTATAAATGACATTTTAGACTTATACAGGGCTAAATGCTACCTTTTATATTATATTAATTTATAATAACTCAGAATGTACCAATCCCCCCCCCAACATTTGTTAAACAAAAATAACATTTAAAATAAATTATAGAGTCATGAGGTGGTGCAGTAGGTAGTTATGTCGCCTCACAGCAAGAAGGTTGCTGGTTCGAGCCTCGGCTGGGTCAGTTGGCATTTCTGTGTGGAGTTTGAATGTTCTCCCTATGTTTGCGTGGGTTTCCTTCGGGTGCCCCGGTTTCCCCCACAAGTTCAAAGAGGTGTGGTACAGGTGAATTGGGTCAGCTAAAATTGGCTTCATTCATACTATTCACATACCTACTGAGTAGTAGGCGATTTTGGACGCAGCCAAAATATTTTATTTTGAGAAACATTTAAAAATATTTTGTTACAGTAAACATGTCAGGCTTAATAATTAAAATGAATCATTGAATTCTACTGTCCTTATTTATTTAAAAAACCCAAAGTTCTTTACAATTTAAAACAGCACCTTTGGTTATCTGTTCTACTAAAGTTATTGTGGTCCTATAAAATAACAACAACAACAACAAAAACAAACAAACAAACAAAAAAGTCTTACATATACCTTAGGAATGGTATAACAGAAAATTTTGGCAGTTTTAAAACCTTGACTTTTCCAAACTGCGGTATACCTTGAAAACGGTTATCGTCCCATGGCCAATTGCAACCACCTAATATTTGTTGTGATATTTAGACTTAAACTAGGAAAGGTAGCAGCACAAATACACACCTTGGATTTATTATAATTTTTTGTCTTATCAGTATCACTGATGAAATACTTTGTAGCCTTAAGGAGCATTATATTTTCCATCCAAAATGTTCAACATTAAGTTACTTGTTTATCTGTAAAAATCACAATACATGCATATATGTCAGAACATTACCTTTTTTATGATTTACTTAATAATTATTACTTTTAATTTTACATGGTCTTGTTTACTCCAGAATGTAAACAACTCTTAAATTTATTTTTCAAGCAGAAGTTTCATTTTCTCAGAAAAAAAAAACTTGACAGACATGGAAACAAGATGTTTAGTTGACGTTATGTAAATTAACTAACTTATATAGACAAACAATAGGACTGTGGAAGATATAAAGTATTTTTTTTAACTCTTAATTTAAGACATTTGACGTTTAATTTAAGATTTTCCCTCTGATCCAATACCTTAAATCGTCAAATGGCAAATTATGAGACTTTAAAATGACCTTATTAAGACCCAAAGAATCCCTCGGTACCACTATTCCTGTAAAAAAGCTGTCTGAACACAAAATTAACTCTTGGGAACAGCTTAATAATGTTAGCCGAGGAAAACAAAAACAAGTGGCTTTTAAATACAATAACGTTTATTAACATGTTTCTGTTCGAAGAGTTTGGATGTAACTTTGACTGAAGGCTGACAGATTCACTTGGTCATCCGTTAGCCACTTGTTGCTAACAGAATGCTAAAGCGGAAACCTCCGTCAAAATACACAAAATAGGAATAGTTTTGCTGCTGATAAGCAAAAAAGACAAACTCAGACGCTTGGGCGAAGTACTTACAGCTTGTACTTTTAATTCGACGGTGCATTTATTCGCTTTTTGTCGCATTTGTGACGCTGAGGGATTTTGGGCGTCTTCAGTCCGCCAGTGTTTTTAAACTTGGTTACTATGACAACAACCAAAGCGGCTGCTGTGAAGCTGCGAGGAAATGACGACACGAAAAATATTTCAAAAGTGAAAACGAATGAAAATAATAATATGCGAATAAATAATAATAACCACGACTGTATTATTTACAGTTTTACATTCAGGTTTCTAATTGGTGTATATGCACACAGACTTTTAATTTCTGTCAGCCAGTTTAGGGCCTCTGGTGAATTGTCATCCCTTACAACGGTCTTTCTTTTCTTTTTACACTTTAACAACTAAATGGATGCTTAATTATGTTTTACTGATTATATTTGAATTACTTTACAACATGGATGTTGTATAAGGAACCTTCTGAAATTGAAAATAGTCACATAAACCTTTTACCAGAAGTTTATCATTGGCTGAAAAACACTGTGCATATAGCCTAGCCAATTCTGAAGTCATATATTTAATAAAAGTGGATTTGTTTCCATACCCTATAACTTTAAATGTCACATATTAAGACAAAGAAGAATGAATGATCTCACATGACAAAATACAAAAATCTAGCCTACATACTAGTGTTTGTGAACTAGTAAACAGGCTACTGTACAATTAGTATTTAAATCTTTGTAAATGAATGCTCCAGCATACTGTCAATTAACTATAGTGAACTAAACTGTAGAAATACTGTATTATACTTTAATTATACTTAAAATATTTAGTATAGTTTATGTGTAACTAAAGCGACTTTACAATTACCACAATGCATTCCTTCAAGGACTATAGTACACTGTAAAAAACAGAATTTTATTTTTTAAATACTCAGACGATACGGTAATTTTAAGTTTGCTGAAAAAACAAGATCCTGTTTCTGTTTATTTTTTCTGAAATTGATTTATTTGTTGAGTGGTGTGATGAAAACTTTTTAAAAGTCAGTACAAAAAAACAAAAACAAAGGAAATAATCTTTGACCCCAAGTGTGTTGTCGAGCATTTACCAGTGTTTGTACATAATCAAGAAATCACTCAGGTACAGTCATACAAGTATTTGGGAACTTACATAGACGGGTCTCTGACATGGGACACACGTAAACTGTATCTGTGAAAAGCTTCACCAAAGACTGTATTTTCTACAAAGGTTATGGTTCTATGGGGTTGATTAGAAAATCATGTATCTATTTTATCAGCCTGTATTTGAGAGTGTCATCAGGTATGGTTTATCTACATGGTATGAAAATCTTTTTGTAAATCTGAAAACAATTTTTTTAACATTATCAGTACTGCTACGAGACTAATAGGATCTAAAACTCCTACTAGTATTCAAACGCTTTACGGGCAATGCACAGTGAATGAAGCAGAAAGAATTTTAAACAATCTATCTCATGTACTCCTCCCATTTTACGATCCTTCTGGTAGAAGATACAGAACCTTCCGCTTGAAGTGGAACAGACTTAAGAACTCTTTTTTCCCAGTATCAATCAGACTATTGAACACGAAACGGTAGTGTACATATGTTTTTTTCCTGTATGTATTTCTTTTGCATGTTTGCTTATTTCCAACTGTTATTGTGTCAGAACTTGCTGAAGTGCTCTGTGAGTCCACAAAAAATTTACCCTTGAGGGACAAAAAAGTATGTATACAAACAAACAAACAAACAAACAAACAAACAAACAAACAAACAAACAAACAAACAAACAAACAAACAAACAATTCACTTATGTTGTCCCAACACAAATTGAATAAGTTAACTTAACACTTTTAACAATTTAACATAAAAAATTGAGTTGTCCCAATGAAATCTCAAGAATTGTGTTGTTTCAGCTCATTTTAAATTAGTTTGAATGAGCAAAACAAAATATTTTTTGAGTGTATGGGTTAATCAGCCTGATCTCACGAGAAAACATTAGTATTTTAAGTTTTGCCAGTTTAGTGGCTAATTCGTACAAATTCTTACGAGTTCAGTTGTACGAAATTGTATGATTTTAAAAAGAAGGCGTGGCACCTAACCCCACCCCTAAACCCAACTGTCATTAGGAAATAAGCAAATCGAACGAATTAGATTGTACGAATTAATACGAATTAGTCACTAAATCAAAAATGTATGAATTGCCGTGAGATTGTGTTGGGCTCATTAACACTATAGTATACTTCAAATTACTTTAGTATTTTACATGTGGCAAGACCATTTTAATGTGGCGATGTCACTGGCTCATGAATATTTCCTGCTTGTTGTCAAACTAAAATTGAAAATGTAATATAGGAAATAGGCTAGGACCAATGTTATTGTTTACATCCCTCAAAATTGTCTATAGACGGGATCTTAATAGGCTAGTTCGAAGCAGTTTGGATTAAGACATTTGTTTGGGGTGAAGAAGCTTCGGTTCAAGATTTATGTCAACTCACAAAAAAGGGAATCTTTTAAAGATTTAGTAAGAACGTTCAGTTTTAGTAGTGGTGTTTGGTCCTAACCCCAGCTGTACTTCAAGTCAGGATGAACCAGAAATGATTTGAAAATTGAGGACACATTCAGACACGGGTATTTGCAAAGTAATGACTCTTTCTCAAAACGCAGAGTGAACAGAAGTAGAGATTTCTAAAAGCAGAGAACATTAGTTCACCAAGTCTCCACTTTAAGCCGCTTAAAATGATGTCCAATGAAGGATCTGCCCTGGAAATGAACCACACAGACCTCACAGAGAACCACCCAGGCCAGTTAACTTCTGCTCAGGAATGGGCCATGTCGATGTTTAAGAAGGCAAATGCAAACAGTTCACAGCAGCCTAAGGGCAATTAGGATGTGTTTGTGGCAGTGAGGTGAGCCAAGCATGAGGGACTAATGGTTCGAGGCTCTGGTTAAAATGACAGCGCAGTGGGGAGGTGAGACTCTCCATAAGCACAAAGGCTTTTAGGTATGACAGCGCCATTACCTGTGTGTGTGTGTGTGTTTGTTGCGACTCTGTAGATGGATGTGTTTTCTCATTCACATTAGCTCTCGCCATCTTCTCTTCTACCATCTAAAATGCAAGTCATTTGTTTTTGCCTTTTCTGACTGATTGCCTCAGTTATTCCAAATGACTGGCCTGAAAAATACACGCTGCTTTTCACACTTCTTGACTGATGGCTCGAGCCGATCAGTATTTTAGCACCTCACACTGCGTTCAGTGTGCGTTTGTTGTGTGTGGACAGATCAGACATTGTTTGGAGACAAGGCTTAACAGACTCTATGCTTGAGTAGTGAACGGCAGACAATGTGTTGATGCTTATTGTCCCGAGACTATGATGAGAGGATTAAAAATGTATTGTTTTTTTTAATAGCATTTTAAAATGACTTCTGGTTTTCAATATAAGCACTTAATAAGATGATTTTTTTTAAAAACCAAACAGTTTATTATGAACACAAAGCATAAATATAATGAAAACATTACAGGTCAATTGCTTACATTTAAGCAATTTTCAAGCATTCCGATTTAAATGAACAACTGAAGAATTCATAAAAGTAATCACTTTATCAGAACGAGCACAGCTGAGTCAAATGCAATTTCTGTACTGATAATACGCAGCTCCAAAAACAAGGCAAAGAAAGTAGTTGGTATTCAACAAAGCACTGAAAAAGCAATAAATGCAGCCGTGGGATAATTTACAGTTGATGCTTTCTGTGTGCAATATCTCACAAGTGAGAATTAATAGCAAAGACTTATTCACAGTCGTTGAGTCCTATCATCACATAAAAACTTAGACAACAAATATCTGCTGGATTGCTGTGGGCTGATATGGAATAGTAATTTGCAGTGGACTGTAGTTCACAATGTCTCACCGAGGGCCGTGATGCTTTATGGCAGGCAGTTTTGACATCTAATCGCCTGTACTGGTAGCTATTTTCATGTTACTAGTTTTTTTTTCTCTTTAGATTCTAGTTTCTTTTCCAAGTACTAGTACTTATTAATTAGATACTACTGCTCATTCGTTAGACACTAGTGCCTATTCTTTAGATGCTAGTGCTATTTTTTAAATATACTAGTGCTAACCCATTAGACACTAGTCATTTTTTTATTACATACTAGTGCTCATTCATTAGATATAGTAAATAGATATATACTTATTCATTAGGTACTAGTGCTTATTCAATAGACACTAGTTCTTATTTGATACCATAACTTTATTGAGACCAGTAACTATTCTGCTGTTACTAGTAACAAATACATTTTTTTATATGGATTTCTATGGGATCTGTCATTGAGAAATCAACTATTCAACTTTAACTAATACATATTACAACTGGTACTATTACATATTTTTATGGACTAGTAGGTAATCATTAGATGCTAGTACTGTTACGTATTTAATAGATACTAGTACTCATGTATTAGACACTAGTACTTATTTTAATAGTGACTAGTAACTATTCTGTTGTTCCTAGTAACAAATTATTTTTTTACATTGATTTATGGGATCTGTCATTGAGATATCAACTATTCAGCTTTGACCATGAATTCCAGCTTAGACTAGAACATATTATTATGTACAAGTACTTATGTATTAGATACTAGTACTTATTCATTAGGTACTACTTATTTAATTTATACTAGTATCTATTAAATATATACCAGTTATTCATTAGTTATTCATACTAGTACTTATTCGTTAGATACTGCTTATTTAATTTATACTAGTATCTATTAAATATATACTAGTAGTTATTCATTAGTACTAGTATTTATGTATTAGACACTAGTATCTTTTATAATTATAACTAGTAACAATTCTTATTTACAGGTCTGTTCTGCTTGCTTACCCGTCTTATGTTATGACTAGTCCAAATGAAAGAGTAGAGTTCAATTAAATATTTTACTAGTAAAATAAAAATATTTCCTAGTAACATTTCAAACAAGTACTAGTATTATCTTTAAAAAATATGTTGTAGTATCTAATTCATAAGTACTAATATCTATTTAATAAGTACCCCTATCTAATTAATAAGCAATATATCTATTAAATAGATACTAGTATCTAAAAGTAATTAAACGGT